CGCAACATGTAAAGTGTTGATCCCATATTTCATGAACTGAAATAAAAGATCCCAGAAATGTTGCATACGTACTAAAAGCTTATTTCTCACAAATGTTTTGCACAAATGTGTTTATATCCCTGTTAGTTGGCATTTCTCCTTTGCCAAGATAATGCATCCACCTGGCAGGTGTGGCATATCAAGAAGCTGATTAAACAGCATGATCATTACACAGGTGCACCGTTTGTTAGGGACAATAAAAGGCCACTCTAAAATGTGCAGTTTTGTCACCCAACACAATGCCACAGATGTCTCAAGTTTTGAGGGAGTGTGCAATTGGCATGCTGACTGCAGGAATGTTCAGCAGAGCTGTTGCCAGAGAAATGAATGTTCATTTCTCTACCATAAGCCGCCTCCAATGTCATTTTAGAAAATTTGGCAGTACGTCCAACCGGCCTCACAACCGCAGACCACGTGTATGGCGTCATGTGGGCGAGCGGTTTGCTGATGTCAATGAGTGCCCCATGGTGGCGGTGGGGTTATGGTATGGGCAGGCATAAGCTATGGACAATGAACACAATTGCATTTTATCGATGGCAATTTGAATGCACAGAGATACTGTGACGAGATCCTGAGGCCCATTGTCGTGCCATTCATCCGCTGCCATCACCTCATGTTGTCAGCATGATAATGCATGGCCCCATGTCGCAAGGATATGTACACAATTCCAGGATGCTGAAAATGTCCCAGTTCTTACATGGCCTGCATGCTCACCAGACATGTCACCCACTGAGCATGTTTGGGATGCTCTGGATCGACCTGTACGACAGTGTGTTCCAGTTCCTGCCAATATCCATCAACTTCGAACAGCCATTGAAGAGTGGGAAAACATTCCACAGGCCACAATCAACAGCCTGATCAACTCTATGAAGGAGATGTGTCGTGCTGCATGGGGCAAATGGTGGTCACACCAGATACTGACTGGTTTTCTGATCTACCTTTTTTTGAAGGTATCTGTGACCAACAGATGCATGTCTGTATTCCCAGTCATGTGAAATCCATAGATTAGGGCCTAATGAATTTATTTCATTTGACTAATTCCCTTATATGAACTGTAACTCAGCAAAATCTTTGAAATTGTTGCATGTTGCATTTATATTTTTGTTCAGTACAGTTAAGATTATAAGACGCGACGTTGCATAATGCCGGAAGTAATGCCTGCCTCCTGAATCCAAGCATTTGACATGGGGGGAGGGGACCAGTAACTTTATGATCAACTTTGTCATTGTACCAGCTACAGTCATTTTACATACTTGGGTCAAACTACTATGAACTGGCTTCATCCAAATATCATCCAATTTGATGAAAAACATTATTTCCACTGTTTGGGACCTTTAAATCTACACTAAAGTGTTGAGTCTGTGGACCAATATAGACACCGTAACAGTGTTAAATTAAGACACTGCTTACCCTTACAAAAATGAATTTGTTACTGCAAACTTCCCACAAGTTTGTGGCAAATTTGCTGCAAACTAACTAGTGTGCCACAAAATGTTAGTGGTGAATCTGCAGGCAAACCTTTGGCAATAATAATATGTATTACCACTAGTGGCAAACAGTTTACCAGAAGCCATTTCTGATGAACACATGAGTTCCAAGACCAGTAACCGTTGATGACCAATCAAGGGAATTAGAAACATCTGTTGGAAAATGGAAACCAAGCTATCTAGCTAGCTGCAGTACCTAACAATGAGTGTCTAACTTATTAATTAAACTTCCTAATAAACTTTAACATTTTATTACCTAAATGATTCCTAGTTAGCAATGTCATGTTTTATGGGATAGAGTGAAACACATTTTGTTGATACCAGTTTCAATCTGTCAGCACCACTAACTGACTGGCTAGCGCTTAGCTACTGCAGCTAATCATTAGCTATTGTATTTTTACACAATTAATGTGATAGGTAGATAGCTAACGAATGTTTGCTTAAACACTTATTTTTAGGTGAATACGTTACTGTCTTTTAATACCAATATGCATGTCTATATGCTAGTGTCACGGTTCAGTTTGATGTTAGCTAGCACAACAGCTAAGGTAGCTAACTAGCTAGCAACAATGTGAGTTGATTTGACATAAAAAAAACTTCACTTTTGCAGATGGATACCCTTCCCCTACCCATGGTGTTGGTAGAGGCTGTATTGGGAGGAGGATGCATGAACACCCTGGAAATATGTTTGTGGTGCACTCACTCATAATACTTTTTTTAAGTAAAAATGTGTGTATCGTCTTCAAGATTGATAAGGTAGGTAAATGCATGAATCATTCTCATAAATGTAGCCCATACATTCAGTCTTTGTAACAATTAGATATTTCATGCTTTAAAATAGTATTTAGCTCATCGTGATCATGTGTCGTTCCTTCTCTCTTTCTAGAAGTAATCAGTTACAAGGCAAAAATACAGATTGAGGCCTTCAATCAAACTGAGGACAGAGAAATACAGTACCAGTCAAAAGTTTGGACACACCTACTCATTCAAGGGTTTTTCTTTATTTTTACTATTTTCTACATTGTAGAATAATAGTGAAGACATCAAACTATGAAATAACACATATGGAATCATGTAGTAACCAAAAAAGTGTTAAACGAATCAAAATATATTTTATATTTTAGATTCTTCCAAGTAGCCACCCTTTGCCTTGATGACAGTTTTGCATACTCTTGGCATTCACTCAACCAGCTTCATGAGGTAGTCACCTGGAATGCATTTCAATTAACAGGTGTGCCTTGTTAAAAGTTAATTTGTGGAATTTCTTTCCTTTTTAATGCGTATGAGCCAATCAGTTGTGTTGTGACAAGGTAGGGGTGGTATACAGAAGATAGCCTTATTTGGTAAAGACCAAGTCCATATTATGGCAAGAACAGCTCAAATAAGCAAAGAGAAACGACAGTCCATCATTACTTTAAGACATGAAGGTCAGTCAATATGGAACATTTCAAGAACTTTGAACATTTCTTCAAGTGCAGTCGCAAAAACCATCAAGCGCTATGATGAAACTCGCACTCATGAGGACCGCCACAGGAAAGGAAGACCCAGAGTTACCTCTGTTGCAGAAGATAAGTTCATTAGAGTTAACTGCACCTCAGATTGCAGCCCAAATAAATGCTTCATAGAGTTCAAGTAACAGACACATCTCAACATCAACTATTCATAGGAGACTGTGTGAATCAGGCCTTCATGGTCGAATTGCTGCAAAGAAACAACTACTAAATGACACCAATAAGAAGAAGAGACTTGCTTGGGCCTAGAAACACGAGCAATGGACATTAGACTGGTGGAAATATGTCCTTTGGTCTGATGAGTCCAAATATGAGATTTTTGGTTCCAACTGCTGTGTCTTTGTGAGACGCAGAGTAGGTGAACAGATTATCTCTGCATGTGTGGATCCCACCGTGAAGCATGGAGGAGGAGGAGGTGTGATGGTGTGGGGGTGATTTGCTGGTGACACTGTCTGTGATTTATTTAGAATTCAAGGCAGAATTAACCAGCATGGCTACCTCAGCATTCTGCAGCGATACGCCGTCCAATCTGGTTTGCGCTTAGTGGGACTATTATTTGTTTTTCAACAGGACAATGTATCCTCCAGGCTGTATAAGGGCTATTTGACCAAGAAGGAGAGTGATGGAGTGCTGTATCAGATGACCTGGCCTCCATAATCACCCGACCTCAACCCAATTAAGATGGTTTGGGATGAGTTGGACTGCAGAGTGAAGGAAAAGCAGCCAACAAGTGCTCATCTTTTGTGGGAACTCCTTCAAGACTGTTGGAAAAGCATTCCTCATGAAGCTGGTTGAGAGAATGCCAAGAGTGCGCAAAGCTGTCATCAAGGCAAAGGGTGGCTACTTTGAAGAATCTAAAATCGAAAATATATTTAGATTTGTTTAACACTTTTTTGGTTACTACGTGATTCCATATGTGTTATTTCATAGTTTTGATGTCTTCACTATTATTCTACAATGTAGAAAATAGTCAAAATAAAGAAAAACCCTTGAATGAGTAGGTGTGTCCAAACTTTTGACTGGCACTGAATGTGTTCCAGAGTAGAGAATGTTCCAGAGTAGAGAGACCCACAGTTGTTACTTTAATTGAGTACTAGCAGTGTCTGCTGTGGCAGGTGGGAAGGTGCAAATTACCGGAAAAATATCTAATCTCTCAATGTTCTAATCTCTCAATGTAAATGTCAAAGTGCACCAAATTCATGCATTCCCGGACCCCCGACTGGCTCTGGGCTGAGCCCAAAATATCTTAAAATCCTAGAAATGCTCCAGGGCGTGTTCATAAGAACACTCTCATATTCAGTCAAAATCAGTAACTAAACCCACTGGTGTTCTGGCAAGGCAGCAGTTAAATCTTTATTATATCTGCAAAGAGTTTACCAAAAAATATGTTAATATAACAAAAAGACATGTTTCTCTTTTTTTAAGCATACAAAACCATATGATATTTAATACTGTTTAATAGCAAATTATCTTCTGTTTATAACATTCACACATTAAGCCATTCATTGCTACAGAACAATCCCTTTCTATTGGTGGAACAGGGTCTTGGACCAATCAAAATACTTTGACCAACATGACTTGGAACACATCGACAGTACACATAGAGATAGATAGAGGGCGCTCTGCCCATGCAGTTATAGAAACTATCAATGTGAAAAATATAAGTGTGCCCTCTTTCAAACTCTATGACACCACACTAGTCACCTACAACTTTTCTCTAAACAGTAACAGTTAGAGTTAATACAAAAACGTTAGCACAACTTTTAAATAAAGGTTGAAATCTTATTTTTTCCTTATAGGGGAGAGGGAGAGAAAAACGTCCTTGCATTTTTTTGTGCACATTGGGAAAGGGGGTTCTACAGTAGTCCATCGAGGAGTGTAGCAGAGCAGCGTAGCAGGGTGGGGGTCGGGGGTGAAATTGGGGTCAGGGGTGATATTTCAAGGGTTGGAGATCGGAGTTCTTTCAGGGCACAGCTACTTTGAAGGGGCTGCCAGGGACACTGTCATCCCCCCACTTGACGATAACGGTGTAGTTGCCCTTGTCTTTGACAGTGTAGGTGACGTTGTACAGGCGGTTGCCCATGTGTTTAACATACACCTCTTCACAAGGGGTCCTGGGACCGTGCACTCCCACCAGCAACATGTTAGTACCTGGAGGAGGGGAGGGTTAGGAATGGTACTAGAGGTGTGTATGTGTGTGTGTGTTACATGTTTGTGTGTGTATCTATTCCTCGAGTCTGTCCATCTCACCTGCTTTGCTGCAGTCCACATTGAATATATTCTTCTGTCCGACCAGAGCCTTGGTGAGCCCGCCGCCTCGACACACCACCTTGCTGGCGTCTGAGGTCAGTTTGGAGGAGGAGGAGGACAAGGAACTGTACGCTCCTGCCACCTTGGACGTCTTAGTGACCGTCTCTACCAGGACCGAGGACGTCTCGTGAAGGCTGTGACCACCAGACAGACGGGTACCTGAGGGAGGGAGGGAGAGCTGCAGTCACGACTCAAATCAGACATTACATAACCTAACACTTCCCCTCCTCAGTACAGACAAGAGCACCATGGATGGGGGTTTCTTATGAGAGGGTGGGAGGCTACTTAGAACAACACTGCCAACCTGTAGGCTACTGTATTCCCCATATCAACATATTTATACAGCATAGATTCCTCATACTCGGAGGGATTCTTTGTAACTTCACAACAACACATCTAGCCTTATTTTCTCCATTTTGCCAGTGCTTCAGAGAATGCACTCAGTCTTCAGCATTGAAGTCAGTGACTATTCAATTTACAATCCCGATGAGAGAAAATGATTATTTATGTAACATTTACGTAATTTGTTATTTATTTACTTTGTATTCCTTACATAATTTATAGGAACTTTTAACTTTTCAGAGTGTCTCGTTTTATACCAAAAACCTCAAACATCCTTTTCATCAAGCTCTGGCAGCCAAGCTGCACACACACGTCACACACCGAACACACACCTGTGACTTTGGCTTTGAAGGGGCTGCCCACTATATGGTTGGGTCCTCCATATTTGATGTTGATGAGATAGTTGCCAGGGGCCATGGGTGTGTAGATGACCTTGTAGCCATCGGGGCACTCAGAACAGTCCATCTTGACCTTAGAGGGACCGTCGATGGTCACAGACAGGGAACCCGACCCTGCATTACAGGTGTTCACTACAAACTCTGAGGCTACACCTAGAGGGAGAGAGAAAGACTACATGGTGAGGAGACCTAGCATTCATAATACATCATTTTAAGACAGCATCATAACAGGCAAAACTGGTTGAAATGACGTCACTACAACCAATGATGAATATACTGTATGTATATTAATCATTGATGACAGACCCCACAGATCCTCAAAAAGTTATACAGCTGCACCATCGAGAGCATCCTGACTGGTTGCATCACCGCCTTGTATGGCAACTGCTCGGCCTCTGACCGCAAGGCACTACAGAGGGTAGTGCGTAGGGCTCAGTACATCACTGGGGCCAAGCTTCCTGCCATCCAGGACCTCTATACCAGGCGGTGTCAGAGGAAGGCCCTAAAAATTGTCAAAGACTCCAGCCACCCTAGTCATAGACTGTTCTCTCTGCTACCGCACGGCAAGGGGTACCGGAGCGGCAAGTCTAGCTCCAAAAGGCTTCTTAACAGCTTCTACCCTCAAGCCATAAGACTCCTGAACAGCTAATCAAATGTCTACCCCCACCCCCTCTTTTTACGCTGCTGCTACTCTCTGTTTATTATCTATGCATAGTCACTTTATCTCTACACACATGTACATATTACTTCAATTACCTCAACTAACCTGTGCCCCCGCACATTGACTCTGTACCGGTACCCCTGTTTATAGCCTCGCTACTGTTATTTTACTGCTGCTCTTTAATTATTTGCTATTTGACTATTTGTTTTATTTTTACTTATCAATTTTTTACTTAACACTTATTTTTCTTAAAACTACATTGTTGGTTAAGGGCTTGTAAGTAAGCATTTCACTGTAAGGTCTACACCTGTTGTATTCGGCGCATGTGACAAATAACATTTGATTTGATTTGATTTATTACATGTGTTGTCAGTAGCAGAGGGTCTGTGTACAGCGGGAGTAAGAAGATAAGGAGAAGATATGTACCTGTGGATCCTCCATCCAGTCCAGGCCCATATGCTGTCACCATGCCTGGGTCTCCAGCCTGTCCTGCCTCCCCCACCCTCACGTTGAACGGACTACCAGGGATGTGGCTGCCATTGAACTTGACGTCGATGGAGTGCACGCCATTCTCACGGGGAATGAAGCGGATTGCGTTCTTGTCTGGGGAATAGGAGTGATTTAGATATATTAAATACATATAATGGTAATGGTATAAAGTTCATGTTTTGTTTTACAGCCAACTGTTCAACATTAAGTAACACATTTGTCCCCATCTCTCCCATTTAATTTTGGTTAGTGGTGGCTGTAGTTAGCTGAAGGTAGGAGTAGTGAATTACAGTCTCTCCTGGCCCATAGACTACTTTCAGAGTAAGGAACCATATAACTGTGAGGTCTAATACCAAACCTATCCTTCTATCTTACCACTGTCCAGCTCTGTGACGTAGCACTCCTCTGCTGAGCCGGAGGGGGTGTGGACCTTAGCATCGACCACGCCCCTTGCCCCGTTACGCTGCACAGCGAACGACGCTTCCTGGTTCACCTTTAGGTCCTTCTCCTGAGGGGAGGAGGAAGGAAAAACAGGGTCAGGATCTGGTAAAGCTCTGTTAGCTTGTCTTGTGTGTGTAGAATGTGTTTGTGGGACTGTGACTCATCTTGTATATGAAATAACAATAAGGAGATAAGTAGAGAGATTCCCGGGATGAGTAAGAGGGAGAAGGTGTTAATGTCTGTCCCATTGGGGGGTGATGAGCAATACTGTCAGCCATGAGTAAGACCCCACATATTAGAAGAGGGACAGTTGATCCTTCTCATCCCTCTCACCATTAAACAACAACAACATAATAAAATAGCCTTGGTTACTGCTACAGCCCACGCCTCCAGTTACACTTCCAAGGACAAACAAAGCCCGACCAACAAGCAACTATTGTTATGCTAAATGATGGCCTTGTGAGGAGTGTTCTAACACAATAAGTAATTCTGTGATTCTGTTTGTGTGTGTGTGTGTGTGTGTGTGTGTGCGTGTGTGTTCATGTGTGTGTTCCTACCTGCAGGCTGGTGACAGTGAGTCGGCATGCCTCGTCAGACAGCGTTGCTATGGGAACAACAAAGGGGCTGTCTGGGATGTGCTCGTTGTTGAACTTGATTGACACTTCATAGTCACCTGAGGGCACACAGCGGAACCAGGGAGTTAGAGACCAAAATAACAGTGATCAGATTATTGAAATGTAGGAGAAGGAAAGGAGAAAAACACGGTGTAAATGACAAAAAAATATTTCAGTATAGTATTATCCAATCAATAGCTGTCATTGTCTCTGCTGAATATGAGAGCTTATCTGTTTCATTGATAAGCTGTGGGAAAGACTGACGCCTTGTAGTCGGTGTGTTTGTTTCTTGCTGTGTCCTCGTCCCTCTAACTGGGGACAACTGCTATGTAGCTTCTTAGAGCACCTACTGCCTAGTCTACTGCTATGTAGCTTCTTAGAGCACCTACTGCCTAGTCTACTGCTATGTAGCTTCTTAGAGCACCTACTGCCTAGTCTAGTGCTATGTAGCTTCTTAGAGCAGTATTTGGACAGTGACAAATTTTTTGTTGTTTTGGCTCTGTACTCCAGGACTTTGGATTTGAAATGATACAATGTGGGTGAACCATTTAGAAATTACAGCACTTTATGTACATGTTCCCCCCATTTTAAGGAACAAAAAGTATTTGGACGTTCACTTATGTGTGTAGTCAAAAGTTTAGTATTTGGTCCCATATTACTAACACCCAATGACTACATCAAGCTTGTGACTCTACAAACTTGTTAGTTCCATTTGTAGTTTGTTTTGGTTTGTTTCAGATTATTTTGTGCCCAATAGAAATGAATGGTAAATAATGTACTGTTTCACTTTGGAGTCACTTTTATTGTAAATAAGAATATAATATGTTTCTAGACACTTCTACATTAATGTGGATGCTACCATGATTACGGATAATCCTGAATGAATCGTCAATAAGGATGAGTGAGAAAGTTACAGAGGCACGAAGATCATACCCCCAAGACATGCTAACCTCTCACCATTACAATAACAGGGGAGGTTATCATTTTTGTGGGGTATGATATTTATGTCTCTGTAACTTTCTCACTCATTATTATTCACAATTCATTCAGGATTATCCGTAATTATGGTAGCATCCACATTAATGTAGAAATGTTCAGAAACATATTCTATTCTTATTTACAATTAAAATGACTCTAAAATGACACAATACATTATTTACCATTAATTTATATTGGGAACAAAATCATCTGAAACACAACCAAAACAAACTGCAAATGCATCCAACAAATGTGTAGAGCCACAAGCTTGATGGAGTCATTGCTTGCTAGGAATATGTGACCAAATACTAAGCTTTTGACTACTTTAATACATACTTTACTTTTACCAAATACTTTAGGTTGCCTAAAAAGTGCTGTAATTTCTAAACAGTTTCCCCGATATGGATGAAAATACCCTCTAATTAAAGCTGACAGGCTGCACTTTAACCCCATTGTCATTGTATAATTTGCAAGTACTGGAGTAAAGAGCCCCCCCCCCCCCCCCCCCCCCCCAACAAAAAAAAAAAAGTGTCACTGTCCAAATACTTTGCTCAATTGTTGGTCCTTGGAGCTGGATGGGGTTTTTGTACCCTATCTCACCTGGATCCTGTACGATGTAGACCACCCCACAGGATCCATCCTTCCTGTCTTCAAAGGAGATCTCAGCCTTACTGGGCCCTTCTACAGCGATGGACAGACCGCCTGCACCGGCCTCCCGCGTCCAGATACTAAACTCAGCTACGGGGAGGGAGGGAGGGAGGGAGAGAGAGAGAGAGGGGGAGAGAGAGAGAGAGAGAGAGAGAGAGAAAGACAGAGAGAGAGAGAGAGAGAGAGAGAGAGAGAGAGAGAGAGAGAGAGAGAGAGAGAGACGGGTTGAAACCTGGTTCAACTAAAGTAGGTAAAAAATAACTTATTGAAAGTAAAACATTCTTCAAAATATATGTGCTATATGCAAAATCAGTGCTAGTTAGTGTAAAGGAAAGGACATGTACAACAGTTAAGTGTTATTTTTTCAGAGACAGAGAAGGTCAGGTCAGGCTACTTACTTGGTGCTCCTGCCACTCCTCTTTCCAGCCCAGTGCCTCCGGCCCGAACCTTGTGGGACCCTCCTTCTCCCAGGGGTCCCACTGTAAACTGGAAGGGACTACCGGGGACATGCTGCCCGCTGTACTTCACATTGACCGTGTGGGCCCCCATCTCCTGGGGCACGAAGCGGACACTATAGGTGCTGTCCCCTCCATCTATGATCTCTGCCTGTTCTGTTTTACCACCAGGGCTGGTCACCTGGGCCGTCATACTACCCTGGGTAGCGGTCTCACCTAGAGGAGGGATGAGCGAGGGATAGAGGGGGTCAGACTGGCTTTTTACATTTTAGTAATTTAGCACACACTCTTATCCAGAGCAACTTACAATCAGTGCATTCAACTAAAGTACACTAGAACCTAAAAGGGTTCTTCGGCTGTCCGCAAAGGAGAACCCTTTGAAGAACCCTTTTTGGTTCCAGATAGAACCCTTTTGGGTTCCATGTAGAACCCTTTCCACAGAGAGTTCTACATGGAACCCAAAAGGGTTCTCCTCTGGGGACAACTGAAGAACCCTTTTGTAATCCTTTTTTTTAAAGAGTGTAGGTAAAACAACCACATATCGATTATGACATTGAAAGTAAAACCTTGTTCAATATAGCCCCTATCTGTAAAATCAATAAAAGAAAAACAAGTACAACAGTTGAGTGTTAGTAAATTAGTATTTTTTTCTTCATTCATTCTCACCTGGTGTGACTGTAGCGGGTATCCCAGCAAAGCTAGCCAGACTCTCTCTGCCCAGGAACTCTCCAAAAACATCTCTGAATGGACTGGCTCCTCCTGGTCCTCCCATCTGGGTGCTCTCCTCTACCCTCACCTCCCTCTTCGTCTCGCCGCCCCGCATTTTGCTGATCTCTGTGCGCTCCGTGCGCGTGTACGTGTGGCTGCTGCGTGTGAATGTGCGAGTCATCCTCTCCTGGGCTGACACCATCTGGAACCAGTTTCCTATTGGTGGAGAGAAAGCAGGAATGGTTAGTGCTTGGCTAGTCTTAGATGCCAGCTATACTTGAAGACTCGTGCTAGCTAGCTTAGCTTTTAAGCTAGCTAGCGAAAGCTGTATGAAAGTTGATTGAGAGTCGAGTGATAGGGGTAATATTAATGTGGGGTACTTCAGCACCATGAGAGTAATACTTGACCACATTGTGACCATGTATAAAATAAAAATAAAATAAAATTTTCTTTGTCACATGCTTCGTAAACAACAGGTGTAAACTAACTGTGAAATGCTTACTCACGGGTCCTTTTTCAGCAATGCAGAGTTAAAGATAAAAAATTTAACAAAAAATTTGAAATAGTGACAAGAGGAATAAATACACAGAGAATAACAATGAGTAAAAATAACCTTTTTTTTGGTCATTTAGCAGACGCTCTTATCCAGAGCGACTTACAGGAGCAATTAGGGTTAAGTGCCTTGCTCAAGGACACATCGACAGATTTTTCACCTAGTTGGCTCGGGGATTAGAACCAGCGACCTTTCGGTTACTGGAACAACGCTCTTAACCACTAAGCTACCTGCCGCCCCATGGTTGGTATACAGGGAGTACCAGTACCGAGTTGATGTTCAGGGGTACGAGGTAATTGAGTTAGCTATGTACATATAGGTAGGGTTAAAGTGACTAGGCAACAGGATAGATAAGAGACAGTAGCAGCAGCGGGTAGCCATTTGATTAGCTATTTTGCAGTCTTGTTTGTTTAGCAGTCTTATGGCTTGGGGGTAAAAGCTGTTCCTGTTGGTTCCAGACTTGGTGCAATGGTACCATTTGCCGTGCGGTAGCAGAGAGAACAGTCTATGGCTTGGGTGGCTGGAGTCTTTGACAATTTTTGACACCACCTGGCTCCTGAGTGGCGCAGCGGTCTAAGGCACTGCATCTCAGTGCTTGAGTCGTCACTACAGACCCCCTGGTTCGATTCCAGGCTGTATCACAACCGGCCATGACTGGGAGTCCCATAGGGCGGTGTAGGCCGTCATTGTAAATAAGAATTTGTTCTTAACTGACTTGTCTAGTTAAATAAAGGTAAAATAAAAAATAAAAATAAAATAGGTCCTAGATGGCAGGGAGCTTGGCCCCAGTGATGCACTGGGCTATACCCACCACCCTCTGTAGCAGTTGCCGTACCAAGTGGTGATGCAGCCAGTCAAGATGCTCTCAGTGGTGCAGCTGTAGAACTCTTTGAGGATCTGAGGGCCCATGCCAAATATTTTCAGCCTGCTGAGGGGGAAGAGGCGCTGTCGTGCCATCTTCACAACTGTGTCGGTGTGTGTAGACCATGTTAATTCCTTAGTGATTTGGACACCGAGAAACTTGAAGCTCTCAACCCACTCCACTTCAGCCCCATCGATGTGGATGGGGGCGTGCTTGCTCCTCCGTTTCCTGTAGTCCATGATCAGCTCTTTTGTCTTGCTAACGTAGAGTGAGAAGTTGTTGTTCTGGCACCACACTGCCACTGCCAGGTCTCTGACCTCCTCCCTATAGGCTGCCTCATCATTGTTGATGATCAGTGCTACCACCGGCGTGTAATCTGCAAACTTGATGATGGTATTGTAGTCGTGCATGGCCATGCAGTCATTGGTGAACAGGGAGTACAGGAGGGGACTAAGCACACACCCCTGAGGGTTGATGGTCAGCATGGCGGATGCATGTTGCCAACCCTCACCGCCTGGGGGGCGGCCCGTCAGGAAGTCCAGGATCCAGTTGCAGAGGGAGGTGTTCAGTCCTAGGGTCCTGAGCTTGGTGATGAGCTTGGAGGGGACTATGGTGTTTAATGCTGAGCTGTAGTCAATTAACAGCATTCTTACATTTCATGGCTATATGTGTGAGTGTTACAGGGTGATAATCATTTAGGCAGATTACCTTGGCGTTCTTGTGCAAGGGGACTATGGTGTTCTGCTTGAAACAAGTTGGTATTACAGACCGGGTCAGGGATAGGTTGAAAATGTCAGTGAAGACACTTGCCAGCTGGTCAGTGCATGCTCTAAGTATGCGGCCTGGTATTCTGTCTGTCCCCGCGGTCTTGCGAATGTCAACCTGTTTAAAGGTCTTACTCACATCGGCTATGGAGAGAGAGATCACACAGTTGTCTGGAACAGTTGGTGCTCTTATGCATGGCTCAGTGTTGCTTGCCTCGAAGCGAGCATAGAAGGCATTTAGCTAATCTGGTAGGCTTGTGTCGCTGGGCAGCTCACAGCTAAATTTCATTTTGTAATCCGTGATAGTTTAAAAGCCCTGCCACATCCGTCGAGCATCAGAGCCGGCGTAGTAGGATTCGATCTTAGTCTTGTATTGACGCTTTGCCTATTTGATGGCTCGTCGGAGGTAGTAGCGGGATTCCTTATAAGCGTCCGGATTAGTGTCCCGCGCCTTGAAAGTGGCAGCTCTAGCCTTTAGCTCAGTGCGGATGTTGCCTGTAATCCATGGCTTCTGGTTCGGGTATGTACGTACTGTACGGTCACTGTGGGGACGATGTCGTCGATGCACTTATTAATAAAGCTGGTGACTGATGTGGTAAACTCCTCCATGTTATCGGATGTATCCCGGAAGATATTCCAATCTGTGCTGGCGAAACAATCCTGTAGCTTAGCATCCGCTTCATCGGACCACTTCCATATTGAGCGCGTCACTGGTACTTCCTGTTTGAGTTTTTGCTTGTAAGCAGGAAGCAGGAGAATAGAGTTATGATCTGATTATGGTTTCTGTGTGTGGAATAAAGGTGATCTAGAGTTGTCACCTCTAGTTGCACAGGTGACATGCTGGTAAAAATGAGGTAAAATTGATTTCAGTTTTCCTGCATTAAAATCACCGGCCACAAGAAGCGCTGCCTCTGAATGTGCATTTTCTTGTTTGCTTATGGCCCTATACAGCTCATTGAGTGCAGTCTTAGTGCCAGCATCGGTTTGTGGTGGTAAATAGACAGCTACGAAACATATAGATGAAAACACTTTGATTAGGGGGTAGATCAGCTTTAATATTGCAGATAAATTGTAACTTCCATCAATGTAATTGTCTGCATCACTTCCAATCCCCCATATGTTTTTTTTCTTCCTCGCATATATATATATATATATATATATATATATATATATATATATATACATATGTACATATATATGCATATATATATATATGCATATATATATATATATATATATACATACACACATACACATACATACATACACATACACATCCTTTAAAAATATATATTTCTCTTTATTATCTTCCAACCCCACCACCCCTTCCCTAATTGTAGTAAACTAGTGAACAGCAACGCTTAGGCCTCTACATCCAGCTTATACATACTACAGTGGGGAGAACAAGTATTTGATACACTGCCGATTTTGCAGGTTTTCCTACTTACAAAGCATGTAGAGGTCTGTAATTTTTATCATAGGTACACTTCAACTGTGAGAGACGGAATCTAAAACAAAAATCCAGAAAATCACATTGTATGATTTTTAAGTAATTAATTTGCATTTTATTGCATGACATAAGTATTTGATCACCTACCAACCAGTAAGAATTCCGACACTCACAGACCTGTTAGTTTTTCTTTAAGAAGCCCTCCTGTTCTCCCCTCATTACCTGTATTAACTGCACCTGTTTGAACTCGTTACCTGTATAAAAGACACCTGTCCACACACTCAATCAAACAGACTCCAACCTCTCCACAATGGCCAAGACCAGAGAGCTGTGTAAGGAGATCAGGGATAAAATTGTAGACCTGCACAAGGCTGGGATGGGCTACAGGACAATAGGCAAGCAGCTTGGTGAGAAGGCAACAACTGTTGGCGCAATTATTAGAAAATGGAAGAAGTTCAAGATGACGGTCAATCACCCTCGGTCTGGGTCTCCATGCAAGATCTCACCTCGTGGGGCATCAATGATCATGAGGAAGGTGAGGGATCAGCCCAGAACTACACGGCAGGATCTGGTCAATGACCTGAAGAGACCTGGGACCACAGTCTCAAAGAAAACCATTAGTAACACACTACGCCGTAATGGATTAAAATCCTGCAGCGCACGCAAGGTCCCCCTGCTCAAGCCAGCGCATGTCCAGGCCCGTCTGAAGTTTGCCAATGACCATCTGGATGATCCAGAGGAGGAATGGGAGAAGGTCATGTGGTCTGATGAGACAAAAATATAGCTTTTTGGTCTAAACTCCACTCGCCATGTTTGGAGGAAGAAGAAGGATGAGTACAACCCCAAGAACACCATCCCAACCGTGAAGCATGGAGGTGGAAACATCATTCTTTGGGGATGCTTTTCTGCAAAGGGGACAGGACGACTGCACCGTATTGAGGGGAGGATGGATGGGGCCATGTATCGCGAGATCTTGGCCAACAACCTCCTTCCCTCAGTAAGAGCATTGAAGATGGGTCGTGGCTGGGTCTTCCAGCATGACAACGACCCGAAACACACAGCCAGGGCAACTAAGGAGTGGCTCCGTAAGCATCTCAAGGTCCTGGAGTGGCCTAGCCAGTCTCCAGACCTGAACCCAATAGAAAATCTTTGGAGGGAGCTGAAAGTCCGTATTGCCCAGCGACAGCCCCGAAACCTGAAGGATCTGGAGAAGGTCTGTATGGAGGAGTGGGCCAAAATCCCTGCTGCAGTGTGTGCAAACCTGGTCAAGACCTACAAGAAACGTATGATCTCTGTAATTGCAAACAAAGGTTTCTGTACCAAATATTAAGTTCTGCTTTTCTGATGTATCAAATACTTATGTCATGCAATAAAATGCAAATTAATTACTTAAAAATCATACAATGTGATTTTCTGGATTTTTGTTTTAGATTCCGTCTCTCACAGTTGAAGTGTACCTATGATAAAAATTACAGACCTCTACATGCTTTGTAAGTAGGAAAACCTGCAAAATCGGCAGTGTATCAAATAATTGTTCTCCCCACTGTATATACATTTTATGGACACAGTCAATTTTACAATAATTCTATTTTTTTTGTTTTTACTCCTGAACTTCCTCTACCCTCAACCTCTCCGATCATTTTCATGATGTCCATCCGGTTTGCTTCTATATGCCATACCATATCTTTCTATAGATGAAAACTATTGGTAAATAGTACTGTCTGTAGCTTATCATGAGGTATTCTAATTCAGGTGAGCAAAAACCAGAGACTTCCTTAACATTAGATATCGCGCACCAGGCTGTGCTCACCAGGGATTTTGAGGTTGAGGCCACAGGCGCTGCCTACAGAGGCGATGGAGGGGGCAGTTCTCTTCCTGGTGATGCTCTCCTTCATCCTTCCTTCTCCTGTCACCTTCACTGTGAAAGGACTTCCTGTAGGGGCAGAGGATCAGCCAATGAGAGGTCTGAAACCGGAATTGGTGCAACAACAAAAAAATCACAGGTAACAGTGACTGACAATGTTGTTCGATAATGAAATGCAATCTCACCTAAACCAAGTTCATTTACTAATTTCACACATTTTTCATAAAATCATATTTCAATTTACAGAACTGAAGTAAGACAAGGAAACACTAACCTGGGATGTGCTTGTCAGAGAACTTGATGTTGATGATGTAGTTGCCTGGCTCTGTGGGGCAGTAACTGACTCTGCACGTTCCATCCTCCACATCCTCACAGTTAATATCCACTTTACTCGGACCCTCGATCGACAACCCCAGACCACCATAACCTGAGAAAGAGAGTGAGGAGAGGGGGGGGGGGGGCAGAAAGAGCTAAAGATGTAAGGCAATGGGTGTATCTGTCTATGAACTTTAGCAGATATGGGTTAGATTAGCTTAAAGGAAAGATACACCCATTTTGAATGTTGATGCAAAACTCGTCATCCCGGCTGTATCTCCGCCTGCTTGAACATCGAATAGCTCAGATACACCTGAACACTTGAAATGACCCTGGGAATCGATAGAACATCGCTCAGAGATGCACAAAAACTATAACATTCAAAATGGGTGAATCTTTCCTTTAATATGGCTAACATGCTCCTACAGCCTTACCGGCATTCCTAGTGTCCACAAAGAACTCAGCCATATCGAAGGTGTGGGCCTCCACCAGTCCTTTACCAAAAGCCTTGACCCTATTGGCCTCGCCAATCTCTGACTGGCCAACCTGGATCTTGAAAGGGCTGTTGGTCACGTGCTTACCGCTCTTCTTCACGCTCACCTCGTGCTCTCCCACCTCCTTAGGGGTGAAGGAGATACCTGCGGATGGAGGGATGGAGGAAAGGAGTGTGTAAGTAGATATTGGAACAGAGTATTTAAACAGGGATTAGTTAAAGGATTCACACATTCTGACATTGCTGTCATCGTTTTATGCTTCCAGAAAGTTGAACTCAGTGCTCTCTGTCCGTCTGTCGAGAGTCCCAAGACTGATGGTTCACACGGCGAGAAAGGTTACTTTGCTTCAGAGTAAGGAAACCAAACCATTTATTCTACCCACCAGAGCCATGTTATTGAAAATCACAGGCTCATGCCAGGTTAGTGGGTAGTATCTCACCTATGTGTCTGTTGGGAAGTCTCTTGAGCAAACAGGGCTCTTCATTGCCTGATGGAGCTCTGATACTAGCCGTCAGCAGGCTCAGGTCAGACTCTGTGATCTTCAGTGACAAGTCTGCTGCTGTCCCCACGTTGAGCTGGGACGTCCTGATAGAATCATCACCTGGATAGAGAGAAATGGAAAATAGATTGACAAACCATTTATTAACATTTACTAACTACATAACATTTATAAACCATTTACAAACCATTTACTAACCATTAACTAATTATTTACTAACATGGAAAAACAATTACTAACATTCACTCACAATGACTGACCATTTACTTACACTTACAAATCATTTGCTAACCCTTTACTAACCATCCCAATATAATTTTATGTAGCGCCCTAAAACACATATGATTTATCAATGTACCAATGATTTCACTGCGAAAGTATGAGTGGTATTGTGGCTGTATGTGGATACACCCCTGAGTGTTCTGGTCCAGACCCACTCACCAGTGATTTTAGCAGTGAAGGGGCTGCCGGGTATGTGTTTGTTGTCAAACTTGACGATGATCTTGTAGTCTCCTGGTGAGGTGGGCAGGTAGGATACATTACAGGTTCCACCCTTATTGTCTTTACAGGTGATCTCTGCCTTAGAAGGACCCTCCACCGCCAGGGACAGACCACCTGTAGGGGTGGTAGGAGGGAGAGAGAGTGAGTGAGTGAGTGAGTGAGTGAGTGAGTGAGTGAGTGAGTGAGTGAGTGAGTGAGTGAGTGAGTGAGTGAGTGAGTGAGTGAGTGAGTGAGTGAGTGAGTGAGTGAGTGAGTGAGTGAGTGAGTGAGTGAGTGAGTGAGTGAGTGAGTGAGAGAGAGAGAGAGATGGGGTTTTACTCAACTGTCTACATAGGATTAGATGGAGAAATGTTTTCCCGTCATTGTTGACAGAGCGGGAAAAATACAAGTCAATACTAAAAAGTATTAACTGTGTTACAAAAGTATTGGTTGAAATAAGAATAAAGAATTGCATAAATAGTAATTGGAAGTACCTTCTCCAACGTTATTGGTGACCACGGTGAAAGTGGCAGGTTTGTTGACGGTGCCGTGACAGAGGCCAGGGCCGTACGCTGTCACCAGACCACTGTTCATAGCATCCACATAGAACTGGAGGGGGCTTCCTGTGAGGGGGAGAGAGATAATGGAGGAATGGACAGACAGAAAAAAGTTTGTTCAATGTTCATCAATGTTTATTTAACGTTCATATACGTAAATATGCCTGTTTAAAAACCTGACCTGAAAAAATTTGTAGAAATATGAACATAAGAAAGTCTCTTAATTGAGCATAACTGCTTACATTGAGTCTGGGTTTAGTTTGAAGACAGGCTAACACAAGGTGTTTTCTCCTCTGGTTTTGACAGACAGAAGTGTACTGTACCTGGGATGTGGTTTCCTTCATACTTGATGTCCATCTCGTGCAGACCCTTCTCAGTAGGGTTGAATTTAACTGTGATGGTCCCATCCTTGTTGTCTGTGATGTGGGGGTGGGCCGTCTTACCGGAGGGCATACGCACCTCACCTGGAAATTACAGGAAAGGGAAGTGAGTGTGTCATTGTGTCTGAAGCAGTAAGATTATCTACAGGTACAGTTGAAGTCGGAAGTTTACATAGACTTAGGTTGGAGTCATTAAAACACGTTTTTCAACCACTCCACAAATTTCTTGTTAACAAACTATAGTTTTGGCAAGTCGGTTAGGACATCTACTTTGTGCATGACACAAGTCATTCTTCCATCAATTGTTTACAGACAGATTATTTCACTTATAATTCACTGTATCACAATTCCAATGGGTCAGAAGTTTACATACACTATGTTGACTGTGCCTTTAAACAGCTTGGAAAATTCCAGAAAATGATGTCATGGCTTTAGAAGCTTCTGATAGGCTAATTGACATCATTTGAGTCAATTGGTGGTGTACCTGTGGATGTATTTCAAGGCCTACCTTCAAACTCAGTGCCTCTTTGCTTGACATCATGGGAAAATCAAAAGAAATCAGCCAAGACCTCAGAAAAATAATTGTAAACCCCCACCAGTCTGGTTCATCCTTGGGACCAGACTACGGTTTGCAACTGCACATGGGGACAAAGATCGTACTTTTGGAGAAATGTCCTCTGGTCTGATGAAACAAAAATAGAACTATTTGGCCATAATGACCATTGTTATGTTTGGAGGAAAAAGGGGGACTTGCAAGCCGAAGAACACCATCCCAACCGTGAAGCACGGGGGTGGCAGCATCATGCTGTGGGGGTGCTTTGCTGCAGAAGGGACTGGTGCACTTCACAAAATAGATGGCATCATGAGGAAGGAAAATTATGTGGATATATTGAAGCAACATCTCAAGACATCAGTCAGGAAGTTAAAGCTTGGTCGCAAATGTGTCTTCCAAATGGACAATGACCCCAAGCATACTTCCAAAGTTGTGGCAAAATGGCTTAAGGACAACAAAGTCAAGGTATTGGAGTGGCCATCACAAAGCCCTGACCTCAATCCTATAGAAAATGTGTGGGCAGAACTGAAAAAGCGTGCGCAAGCAAGGAGGCCTACAAACCTGACTCAGTTATACCAGCTGTGTCAGGATGTGGGAAGCTTGTGGATGACTACCCGAAACGTTTGACCCAAGTTAAACAATTTAAAGGCAATGCTACCACATACTAATTGAGTGTATGTAAACTTCTGACCCACTTGGAATGTGATGAAAGAAATAAAAGCTGAAATAAATCATTCTCTCTACTATTATTCTGACATTTCACATTCTTAAAATAAAGTGGTGATCCTAACTGACCTAAAACAGGGAATTTTTACTAGGATTAAATGTCAGGAATTGTGAAAAACTGAGTTTAAATGTATTTGGCTAAGATGTAAACTTCCGACTTCAACTGTACCTGTGTACTGTTTTATGTGTTAATGAGTGTCTGTTAGGATTACCAAATTCTGTAAAGTTTCCCACATTTCCAAGGTTTCCCCCAAATCCCGGATGGAGAGTTCCTGGAATCATGAAGGAATTTTTGCATCCTTGCATAAGCAGAGAGGGAATCCTTTAACTGTTTTTTTTTGGGGAAAACCTGGGAAATTTGGAAAATATTCCGGAAAAGTCCCTGTACCTGTGATCGGTCCCTGCTGTACGGTGAATGGGATGACCAGGTTGAGAGGGCGGAACTGATCCATGCCTTTCCTATGGACAACGGGCTCCTTTGTTGCCTAAAAGGGCAAATAAAGAAATATGATGGTCAGCAAAAATATAATATCATACATGTATGAGTAACTATAGCAAGCTATGTCTATACAAAGTACAAATTGAACTTTAATGCAGCCTTTTTGAGTCAGTTAAAATGTTGTTACACCCTTATAAGACATTATAAAGATTCATACATGATAACAGCAAGTTATAAAACATTAAGTGAAGGATTACCCAATGTTAGTTTTGTCCCCCAGAATGCTCCACACCACTCTCTCACCAGACCCCCCCCATGCCTGTTATACAGTTGAAGTCGGAAGTTTACATACACCTTAGCCAAATACATTTAAACTCAGTTTTTCACAATTCCTGACATTTAATCCTAGTAAAAATTACCTGTTTTAGGTCAGTTAGGATCACCACTTTATTTTAAGAATGTGAAATGTCAGAATAATAGTAGAGAGAATGATTTATTTAAGCTTTTATTTCTTTTATCACATTCCCAGTGGGTCAGAAGTTTACATACACTCAATTAGTATTTGGTAGCATTGCCTTTAAATTGTTTAACTTGGGTCAAACGTTTCGGGTAGCCTTCCACAAGCTTCCCACAATAAGTTTGGTGAATTTTGGCCCATTCCTCCTGACAAAGCTGGTGTAACTGAGTCAGGTTTGTAGGCCTCCTTGCTCGCACACGCCTTTTCAGTTCTGCCCACATATTTTCTATAGGATTGAGGTCAGGGCTTTGTGATGGCCACTCCAATACCTTGACTTTGTTGTCCTTAAGCCATTTTGCCACAACTTTGGAAGTATGCTTGGGGTCATTGTCCATTTGGAAGACACATTTGCGACCAAGCTTTAACTTCCTGACTGATGTCTTGAGATGTTGCTTCAATATATCCACATAATTTTCCTTCCTCATGATGCCATCTATTTTGTGAAGTGCACCAGTCCCTTCTGCAGCAAAGCACCCCCACAGCATGATGCTGCCACCCCCGTGCTTCACGGTTGGGATGGTGTTCTTCGGCTTGCAAGTCCCCCTTTTTCCTCCAAACATAACAATGGTCATTATGGCCAAATAGTTCTATTTTTGTTTCATCAGACCAGAGGACATTTCTCCAAAAGTACGATCTTTGTCCCCATGTGCAGTTGCAAACCGTAGTCTGGTCCCAAGGATGAACCAGACTGGTGGGGGTTTACAATTATTTTTCTGAGGTCTTGGCTGATTTCTTTTGATTTTCCCATGATGTCAAGCAAAGAGGCACTGAGTTTGAAGGTAGGTCTTGAAATACATCCACAGGTACACCTGTAAACTTCTGACCCACTGGAATTGTGATACAGTGAATTATAAGTGAAATAATCTGTCTGTAAACAATTGTTGGAAAAATTACTTGTGTCATGCACAAAGTAGATGTCCTAACCGACTTGCCAAATCTATAGTTTGTTAACAAGAAATTTGTGGAGTGGTTGAAAAATGAGTTTTAATGACTCCAACCTAAGTGTATGTAAACTTCCGACTTCAACTGTATGTGGTTGTCCCACCTAGGTATCTTAAGATGAATGCACTAACTGTAAGTCGCTCTGGATAAGAGCGTCTGCTAAATGACTAAAATGTAAATGTAAAACAAAATGAGTATCTTACCTAGTTATTTTCAGACGATCTCATTTATTTTATTTTGTAACTTTGCCAACTATGTGTGTATTTTCTATCCCAGTTCGCTCCTCTTCCTGTAGACTTTCTAATTGAGTGTACCCTGTGCGCACAACCGATGTGGAATTCCTGGTCTCTGGCAGCGTTTAGAACTGACGATTTGCAGTCCCTTGACTTTTCCGCCCTGCTGGAGACATGGATCACCGCAGACAACACTAGCTGCTCTCTCTTCATCTGACTACGTTTTCTTTCTTAGTCCGAGAGCATCTGGTCGTCGCGGTGGTGGCACAGGGCTACTCATTTCTCCTAATTGGAGATTATCTCTTTTCTCCCTCTCTCACCTGTCCATCTCCTCATTTGATTTCCATGCTGTAACTGTCACTTGCCCACTCAAGCTTAACATTGTTGTGATCTATCGCCCACCAGGTGCCCTTAGAGAGTTATTCAATGAGCTTGACACCTTGATAAGCTCATTTCCTGAAGATGGCTCACCGCTCTTCGTACTTGGTGACTTCAACCTTCCGACGTCTGCCTTCGATTCATTCTTTCCAACTCTCTCTTTCCCCTCCTTGCCTTTTTCGACCTCACCCTTTCCCAGTCTTCTCCCACTCACAAGGCAGGCAATACGCTTGACCTCATCTTTACTAGAGGCTGTTTGCCTACTAATCTCACTGCAACCCAGCTCCTTTTCTGTCTCCCTTTCCTCCTAACCTAGCCACTCAGCCCCTAGACAGATGGTATTTCGCCGTCGCAATCTTCGCTCTCTCTCACACTACTCTCTCCTCTTCTATCCTATCATCTCTCCCTTCTGCTAAATCCTTCTCCCTCCTGTCTCCTGATTCTGCCTCTACAATCCTAGTCTCCTCCATTTCCGCATCCTATGACTTGCACTGTCCCCTTTCCTCCCGGCCAGCTCGGCCATCCCCTCCTGCTCCGTGGCTGAGTGACTCATTGCAAGCTTACAGAACAGGGTGTGGGCAGCTGAACAAAATTGTAGGAAAACTAAAATTCCAGAGGACCTATCATCCTTCCACTCCCTCCTATCTACCTTCTCTTCCTCTGTATCCGCTGTTAAAGCCACTTTCTTTCACTCTAAATTTACCCTAGGAAACTATTTTCCACCTTCTCATCCCTCCTTAATTATCCACCTCCTCACCCTCCGTCTCTGCAGACGACTTTGTCAACCACTTTGAAAAGAAGGTTGACGACATCCGCTCCTCATTCACTCAGCCTATTGAGTCCACTGGTCCCACACACACAGAACTACCCTACTTCTTGACCTCTTTCTCCCCTCTCTCTCCAGATGAAATCCTGCGACTAGTGAGGTCCGGCCGCCCGACAACCTGTCCGCTCGACCCCACCCCCTCCTCCCTTTTCCAGACCATCTCTGGAGACCTTCTCCCATTCCTCACTTCTCTCATCAACTCATCCCTGACCACTGGCTGCATCCCCTCTGACTTCAAAATGGCCCGAGTCGCTCCCCTCCTTAAGAAACCAACACTCGACTCCTTTGACGTCAAAAACTTTCCAAAATACTTGAGCGTGCTGTCTCTGACCAACTCTCTCACTATCGCTCTCAGAACGACCTTCTTGACCCTAACCAGTCAGTCTTCAAGACGGGTCACTCAACCGAGACTGCTCTTCTCTGTGTCATGGAGGCTCTCCACACTACCAAAGCTAAATCTCTATCCTCAGTTCTCATCCTCCTAGATCTATCCACTTTCTTCGACACCTTGAAAGATCAGATCCTCCTCTCCACCCTCTCAGGGCTGGGCGTCTCTGCACACTCTTGGATTGCATCCTACCTGGCAGGCAGCTCCTACCAGGTGACGTGGAGAGGATCTGTGTCTGCACCACATACTCTCACGACTGGTGTCCCCCAGGGCTCCGTTCTAGGCCCTCTCCTCTTCTCTCTATACACCAAGTCACTCAGCTCCGTCATATCCTCACATGGTCTCTCCTATCATCGCTATGCGGATGACACTCATCTACTTTTCTCCTTCCCCCCTTCTGACACTCAGGTGGCGACAGGCATCTCTGCATGCCTGGCAGATATCTCAGCTTGGATGTCGGCCCACCACCTCAAGCTCAACCTTGACAAGACAAAGCTGCTCTTCTTCCCGGGGAAGGCCTACCCACTCAAAGACCTCTCCATCACGGTTGACAACTCCCGCTCTTCACAGTCCAAGCTCTTCTCTGTCCTGGCACCCCAATGGTGGAACCAGCTTCCCCCTGAAGCTAGGACAGCAGAGTCCATACCCATATTCTGAAAACATCTGAAAACCTACCTCTTGAAAGAGTATCTTAAATAATCAGCACCCCCGTCGCACTCCCCTCCTTTATTGAGGAAAAATGTACTTACTATGACTGTGATATGTGGTTGTCCCAACTAGCTACAGAATCTTAAGATGAATGCACTAACTGTGAGTCGCTCTGGGTAAGAACATCTGCGAAATGACTCAAATGTTCATATGTGCTCAGCGCCACATAAAGTATATATATTAATTAACACACAAATCTATGTTACTAACATGTACTCACCGTAACATGGAAGGGGCTCTTGGGTATGTGCTGTCCTCCGAAGCGGATGGTGATGACATATTTGCCGGGTTCTGGAGCGGTGTAGTAGATGTCGAAGGTTCCATCACGGTTCTCCTGCACATCCATGTCTAGCTCCACCCCCTCTGGGGTCGTGACCGAGCAGGTCACCTTGCCCTTCCCAGCAGCCTTTGCGTCCACAGAGACGATGGCCTCCTCGTGCACCTGCATCTTAGTCAGACCTGATGCCAGGGCATGTCCTCCGATAGACACTGGAAATAAGAAGAGAGAAAATGGTCAGATTATTTAAAATAAATGATAAAAGAGAAGAGAAGGGAAAAGGAGAAGTGTACCAGTGAGCAGACACTTGCTGGCGTCTCCAGTGGGCAGGGCTGAGATGTGGTAGGGAGAGGAGGGGATCTCATCTCCTCCATACTTGATGATGATGGTGTAAGGGCCGGTGGAGTCTGGTACGTAGGACACTGTGTAGGTCCCATCTCTGTTGTCATAGATGGTAGCCTTCTTTGGCTTGCCTTCAGGATCCTACAGGGGGAGAGGATGTTAATGTGTGTGAGGTGTGTGCATGTGTGTGTGTGTGTGTGGAGGGGGGGGGGGGGATTGTACTCACCAGTATCTGTACAGTGAGCAGTCCCTCTCCTGCGTCGCGGGCATCGATTGTGAACTCCACTGGCAGGCTGGCGGGCACACCTGACTTGTCCAGACCTGGACCGCTGGCACGAACCTTACTGGCATCATGACCAGGCTGAGATCTCACCTTGAATGGACTGTGGATGGAGAGAGAGAGAGAGAGAGAGCGGGGGAAAAAATACAATCATATTTCATGACCCTAATGAAAATGTATGAATTGCCTACAGAAAAGTAAATGAGGATATTACAGTAAGGGTTTCTGGTAAATCTAGTTTTGTCCAGTCTGTCTCACCTGCGAGGAACCTCCTGGTCTCCGTATTTAACTGACACAGTGTAAGGGCCATCCTGAACTGGGGTGTAATTGACTGTGTGTGTACCATCACCATTGTTTTTTACAGCAACAGGCTCTGAACCTATGGGGAAAAGAGGACAGATTAGCTACCTTCAAATAAGTCAGTGTATGCAAACATGCATGTGTATGTGTGTGTGTGTTTATGGGTGTTTTTTTATGCTTGAGCGTGTGCATGCGTGAGTAAAGTATGTAGAGTTCCTCTTACCTGATGGTCCTGTGAGATGGACCTCCAGTTTTGCCTGTCCTGCCTGTGTAGCATCCACAGTAAAGATCTGAGGTACGTGGGCTCTGACTCCGTCACCCAACCCTGGGCCTGAACATTTCACCTTACTGGGGTCCACCACGTCCCTCACTGGCACGCGGAACGGACTGCCTGCAGGAGACACACAGAGAGACACAGCGAGGTCACAGAGAGGTCAGCTTTTTTATTAGGATGATAGGGATGAAGGTAATAATAATAATATATTAATAATAATAAATAATAATAATGTAGGAGAGAGAGATATTGAGAAGTATTGGATATTGTGTTTTTATGGTGTTTTTATCGTGAGAGCTCGGGTAAGATTTTCACTGTATTTATTATGCATAGCAAATAAACTTGAAACGTGTATTCTCGTGATGATTCTGCTTCTTCTTCTCCATGCAGTGTGTAAGCGTATGTGTCTGTATGTGCGTATATGTGGGGACTATCAATTATTGGACTATCAATAGTTCCTCCCTGTATTATACTTATGCTAAAATGTTTATTCTATTCTACTGAGCCATTCACTTTATGTTAGTAGTCTTATCTTTTATTATTTCTTATTGTTGTTGCATTGTCGTGAAGGAACCTGCAAGTAAGCATTTCGTTGGACGGTGTATACCAGGGATGGGCAACTCGTGGGCCGTTCTTTTGTAGACCTGCGGATCAATTTCCCAAAACTACACACACAAAACAAATTATATATATACTGAACAAAAATATTAACGCAACATGTAAAGTGTTGGTCCCATGAAACATGAGTTGAAATAAAAGATCCCAGAAATTGGCCATATGCACAAAAAGCTTATTTCGCTCACATTTTGCGCACAAAATTGTTTACATCCCTGTTAGTGAGCATTTCTCCTTTGCCAAGATAATCATCCACCTGACAGGTGTGGCATATCAAGAAGCTGATTAAACAGCATGATATTACACAGGTGCACCTTGTGCTGGGGACAATAAAAGGCCACTCAAAATGTGCAGTTTTGTCACACAACACAATGCCACAGATGTCTCAAGTTTTGAGTGAGTGTGCAATTGGCATGCTGACTGCAGGAATGTCCACCAGAGCTGTTGCCAGAAAATGTAATGTTCATTTCTCTAACATAAGCCACCTCCAGCATCGTTTTAGAGAATTTGGCAGTATGTCCAACCAGCCTTACAACCTCAGACCACATGTAACCACGCCAGCCCAGGACCTCCACATCCATCTTCTTCACCTGCGGGATCATCTGAGTCCAGCCACCCGATGAAACTGTGGGTTTGCACAACTGAAGAATGTCTGCACAAACTGTCAGTAACCGTCTCAGGGAAGCTGATCTGCGTGCTCGTCGTCCTCACCAGGGTCTTGACCTGACAGCAGTTCGACGTCGTAACCGACTTCAGTGGGCAAATGCTCACCTTCCATGGCCACTGGCACGCTGGAGAAGTGTGCTCTTCACGGATGAATCCCGGTTTCAACTGTACCGGGCAGATAGAAGATATGGCGTCGTTTGGGGAGCGGTTTGCTGTTGTCAACGTTGTGAACAGAGTGCCCCATGGTGGCGGTGGGGTTATGGTATGGGCAGGTATATGCTACAGACAACGAACACAATTGCATTTTATCGATGGCAATTTGAATGCACAGAGATACCGTGACGAGATCCTGAGGCCCATTGTCATGCCTTTCATCCGCTGCCATCACCTCATGTATCCTCTGTAGCTCAGCTGGTAGAGCACGGCGCTTGTAACGCCAAGGTAGTGGGTTCGATCCCCGGGACCACCCATACACAAAAAAAAATAAAAAAAATGTATGCACGCATGACTGTAAGTCGCTTTGGATAAAAGCGTCTGCTAAATGGCATATTATTATTATTATTAATGTTTCAGCATGAAACGCACGGCCCCATGTCGTAAGGATCTGTACACAATTCCTGGAAGCGTAAAATGTCCCAGTTCTTCCATGGCCTGTATACTCACCAGACATGTCACCTATTGAACATGTTTGGGATGCTCTGGATCGATGTGTACGACAGCGTGTTTCAGTTCCCGCCAATATCCAGCAACTTCGACATCCATTGAAGAGGAGTGGGACAACATTCCACAGGCCACAATCAACAGTTGTCTATGCGAAGGAGATGTGTCGTGCTGCATGAAGCAAATGGTGGTCACACCAGATACTGACTGGTTTTCTGATCCACGCCCCTACTTTATTTTAAAGGTATCTGTGACCAACAGATGCATATCTGTATTCCCAGTCATGTGAAATCCATAGATTAGGGCCTAATTTATTTATTTCAATTGTCTGATTTCTTTATATGAACAGTGACTCAGTAAAATCTTTGAAATTGTTGCATGTTGCGTTTATACTTTGTTCAGTGTACTGTATTTATATTTAAAAAATCAGGTGGGGAACTCAGTCGGGGTCTCAACTTAATGTTGAGAGTTAGAATAGTAGAATACACAAGGTGCTATTTTGAAATTTGATTGTGTATCAACAGTTTTTCTATTGTTATGTTAGTCACTGACAGTCACTCAATTTAGCCAATGTCTAGCCAGCTATCTAAACTTGTAGAAATCATGGTAAAATTACAGACCGGGAGGCCCCCAACGATTTAGTTAGTCACTCTCACTCAGATATCATAATCAAAACTACAAACACTTCTCTCCACCCTATGGCAAAATTAGTAGAATTGCAGGAAATTAGCTGTTAAACGGCTAATTATTCTCTCCACCCCATTGCAAAATTAGTAGAATTGCATGAAATTATAAAAAAGAAATAAAAACAATTATATTCTCTGCGCCTCATGGCAACATGTATAGAATTGCAGGAAATTCACTCTAAAATGTTTTTTTTTTTTTACTTAGGGCCCCCAAAAGGCTATGGCCGGCTTTGACTGCATGTGGGGATATGGATGTGGGTACGCAGACCTGCGAGCTACTGCAGCCCCTCATGATGAGTTCAGATGTTTTGTGGCCCCCACCCCCATCAGTTGCCCATCCTTGATGTATACCATGTGTATCCTGTACATACGACTAATAAAACTTGAAACTTGAACTTGTATGTGTATGAGGCATTACCTGGAATGGGGTGTCCTCCGAAGTTGATGTTGACGTCATACTCTCCAGGTGTGAAGGGAACGTACTCTACGCTGCAGCTGCCATCTTTGTTGTCTTTACAGGTAATTTTAGCCTCTGACGTTCCCTCTATGGTCAGGCCCAGGCCTCCTGTACCAGCACCCCTAGAGAACACAGACAATGCTAAACTTGAATGGTAATTTCACATCAATTACATTGCTTTCATAGGGAAGGCACAGTCAGAAAGGCTTTCTCATTATTGGAAGAATTTAAAGACATTGGATTTGTGAATGATTTGCCTGTGATCATGTGTTCTTATGTGCTTAACTAGAAAATGTGTTTAGAAACATTGTCACCAATAAACCACATGGGAGCATAGATTGCAGTGTGCAGTCTCTTTTTAGCATTTGCTGCACATATTATTTGATACCCAGCACCTGCTCAGAAACATAGAATGTGTGTATGCAATCTTTTCCTTGGCCGTGATTGTACCTGGTCTCGACGGTGAAGCAGTTGGGTTTGTTGATGAGTCCTCCCTCCAGTCCTGGCCCGTAGGCCCTGACCCGGGTGGGGTCACATCCCTCCACCACTGACACCCTGAAAGGACTCTTAGGGACGGCCACCTCGTCATACAGCACCTCAATCAGGTGCATACCTGGAACAGACAGACCAACCAGAGGGTTTCAATATATCACAGTGCTGTGTGTGTGTGCTCTCACTAGACAGATACACATGATTACAGGTGATTTCATGGCAGATATACTGTACATGATTTTGTATGATGGCCAAGCTGGTTTTACTGTGCAGGGCAATTAAGTTATATCTATCAAAGACACAGTCAGAGCTTTTTGTGCAGGGCTTCTTCTATTAATACCTCCAGCTAGCCATTACTCCTGTATCTGAGAGAAGAGGCTCAGAGCAGGACAGAGCAGATCATACATACCTGAGGTTATGTTCTATTCCAGCACTAACTCTATTTATAACACCCACCTCCCCTCTCTGTCTCCCTTCTCTAAGCCCCTCAGATCACCTCCTCTGCCTCATTCTGTATTTATACCCTCTCTATCTACTCTATCTATCTAGTCCTAAATGAACCCTCCGCTCAAACACCTGTTGATACTATCTCTCTATCACTCTTTTCTAGGATTCCTTGTTGAACAAAGCTGAATGAAAGAACAAGTAACGTGATGGGCTGTGTACATCTACTTTGTCACTTTATGGTCCTTGGAGCCGGATAGCTACTAAACATATCCTACCAAGCAACCTAACTTTAGCTATCAGAAAGCTATCAGAAAAGTTGTCATCTTCTACATGTTCTTACCGTCCTCATAGGCAGTGTATTCCACTCTGAAGGTTCCGTCTCCCTTGTCTGTGATGTAGGTGTCCGTGTTGGTGCCTGAAGGGTTGATGATGCATGCTTTCACGTGGTCACCGCAGCTCTTGGTCATTTTGCGGGCATCCACAATGAAGTGAGTGGTAACCTCCTTGATGACTCCTATAGACGTAGATGATCGTAGGGAAAATGGTTAGCGACTGTAATTGTTAGCATGTCATTGTTAGCTACAGTAGTTTTAGGTAGAGTATCCTTTTCCAGTAAGCTAAAGTAGACTTTAGCTATAGTATCTTTTGCCAGTATGCTATAGTAGCCTTAGCTATATGGCCTTTATCAGTAAGCTATGCTTTGTTTTGCTCGTAAACTACTGTGTATAGTAGCTAGCTAGTCTTAGGTAGAGGCCTTTACCAAATTATAGTTAAATAGTTTGTGGCCTTTAGCTATAGCAGCCTTTGCCTACTTTACCTAGGCTAGGGCAATATGCATGCAGAGATAGACCACTCCACACCTATTCCTCCTTACCTCTGGGCTCCACCCCTGGTCCATAGACCTGCACTCTGCTGGTATCAACAGCCGGCTCCACCTGGATGACCGCAGGGAACTTGGGAAGCACATGACCCCCGTACTTAATGGTGACAGTGTGTGTGCCGTGGAAAGGAGGGATGTAGGTGACAGAGAAGGTCCCCTCGGCTGTCTTCTGGATGTGGACCTCGGCCTGAGCCCCGGACTCAGAGACAATCTCGATGGTGAGCTCAGCCTCTCCGGCACTGGTGCAGTCCACTGTGAAGTAGGCTGGTTCCCCTGCCTTGGCTTTCACTAGGCCTGGACCACTGGCTGTTACCTGTAGGTTTAGGGATAGGTTGAGGTTTAGATTTATTTGATATTTTTACATATGCAGAAACATACATACAATCTAAAATGTGATGTCATACAATGAAAAATGAAAATATAAAAAATATATAATCGGCCTAAATACATGAACAGTGCATCAGTAAATCGCACAAAACAAATAGGCATATCAATAAATCAATAACTAGGCATATCGAAGGCTTAAAGTATATTCAATAAAGTGTCATCTCATCATCTCATCTCACCTTGCTGGGGTCCAGGCATGGCTTAACAGCCGCCTTGAAAGGAGACCCAGGGATGTGCTGCTCTCCAAACAGGATATTGATGGAATACTCTCCAGCCTCAGTAGGCAGGTAGGACACTGAGCAGGTACCGTCCCCGTTGTCCTGGCACTCGATCTTAGCCTCGCACGGTCCCTCCACAGTCAGGCCCAGCCCGCCGGCGCCCGCTCCTTTGGTGTCAATGGCAAAGAGGGCTGGTTTACCCACAATGCCTCCCTTCAGGCCTGGGCCGTATGCGCGCACCTGAAGGATAAAGTTAATAGATGTTAGAGAGACTCATAATGTTCATAAAGAAGCAAGAAGAAGTTGATGCCAGTTGTGTGACCATAAGGACAAAAAACATCCATAATGCTTCATTAAGCTTCAGTTCAGATTGCATTTCAGAGTATCAGTCAGCGGACAGTTACTGTCTTTTCATGAGCCTTACATGAAAACAGATCCCACTGAAGCTAATAGGGTCAAATGTTGTGGTCACGTTTACCTTTGATGGGTCAGCAGGCATCACTCCCTCCACAGCGAAGGGGGATCCAGGGACGGGGTTGCCATCATAGCTGACGTCCACCTTGTAAGGCCCCTCCTCTGGGGGGATGTACTTCACCGAGTGGGCGCCATTGGCTGTGTCCGAATCCAGCTTGTAAGGGATTGGTCGGCCAGAGGGTGAGGTCATCTTGACAGCCACCTCGCCCTGTCCTCCGGCTCCCTGGGTGTTGATGTAGAACTCTTGGTCCTTGCCGACTTCCACCTCTGTAAAATAACAAGAACAAACACGTTTAAATCATATTTTCATCAGTTTTAACAGCTACTCATTCAAACTATTGACAACACCATCGCAGATAAGAATTAGCTACAGTATATAGCTATAATCTAGGGCAATGTCAGATGTACATGGTCCGAAGAAGAAGAGAAAAAAATAAGAAAACAAGATCAAGTTTTCAAATTAATTACATTTTGGGCTTTATGTTATAAAGTTACTGTGTACAATGTTGAGAACTTACTGGTGTCCAGTCCTGTAACCTTGACCTTTCCCAGATCTACAGGAGGAGCCACAGTAATATTGAAGGGGCTCTTGGGAATGGGGTCCCCTCCATGGGTGACGGAGATGGTCATCTGACCCTGTTGAACAGTGGTGTACTTAACGGTGTAGGAGTAGTCATGGTTGTCTATGATCTCAAAGTCCCTGACAGCCTCTCCCTTCAGTTCTGCTGCTGTGAAATGGACCTCTGGCTTGGCCTTGCCTGCTCCCTTTGTGAAGATGGTGAAGTGGGTCGGAGTGCCCACCTCCACGCCTGTCTTGTTGAGTCCTGGGCCCTCAGCTCTCACTTTGCCAGCATCATGGGAAGGATCCACCTTCACTCTGAACGGACTAATGGGGATTTCCTGTAACACAAATATGGAATGGTTTTGTTGCTGTACACTTTTTAATAAAAACTCAAAAACTAATCGAATACAGATCACAACTACGGAAACTTTTGTGCCATTAAGGAGTAGTAGTTAGAACTATTATACAGTACCAGTCAAAAGTTTGGACACACCTACTCATTCAAGGGTTTTTCTTTATTTTTACTATGTTCTACATTGTAGAATAATAATGAAGACATCAAAACTATGAAAACACATATGGAATCATGTAGTAACCAAAAAAGTGTTAAACAAATCAAAATATATGTTATATTTGAGATTCTTCAAATAGCCACCCTTTGCCTTGATGACAGCTTTGCACACTTTTGGCATTCAAATAAAATCAAATAAAATCACATTTTATTTGCCACATGCGCCGAATACAACAGGTGTAGACCTTACAGTGAAATGCTTACTTACAAGCCCTTAACCAACAATGCAGTTTTAAGAAAAGAAACAACGTAAAAAATAGATAAGTAAAAAATTAAAATAGCAAATAATTAAAGAGCAGCAGTAAAATAAAATAACAGTAGGGAGGCTATATACAGGGGGTACCGGTACAGAGCCAATGTGCGGGGGCACCGGTTAGTCGAGGTAATTGAGGTAATATGTGCATGTGGGTAGAGTAAAAGTGACTATGCATAGATAATAAACAGAGTAGCAGCAGCGTAAAAGAGGGGGGGGGGGGGGGGGGGGGGGGGGGGGGGCAATGCAAATAGTCCAGGTAGCCATGATTAGCTGTTCAGGAGTCCTATGGCTTGGGGGTAGAAGCTGTTAAGAAGCCTTTTGGACCTAGACTTGGTGCTCCAGTACCGCAGTGTGGTAGCAGAGAGAACAGTCTATGACTAGGGTAGCTGGAACCTTTGACACATTTTAGGGCCTTCCTCTGACACCGCCTGGTATAGAGGTCCTGGATGGCAGGAATCTTGGACCCAGTGATGTACTGGGCCGTAAGCACTACCCTCTGTAGTGCCTTGCGGTAGGAGGCCGAGCAGTTGCCATACCAGACAGTGAAGCAACCAGTCAGGATGCTCTCGATGGTGCAGCTGTAGAACATTTTGAGGATCTGAGGACCAATGCCAAATCTTTTCAGTCTCCTGAGGGGGAATAGGCTTTGTCGTGCCCTCTTCACGACTGTCTTGGTGTGTTTGGACAATGATAGTTTGTTGGTGATGTGGACACTAAGGAACTTGAAGCTCTCAACCTGTTCCATTACAGCCCCGTCGATGAGAATGGGGGCGTGCTCAGTCCTCTTTTTTTTCCCTGTAGTCTACAATCATCTCCTTTGTCTTGATCACATTGAGGGAGAGGTTGTTATCCTGGCACCACATGGCCAGGTCTCTGACCTCCTCCCTATAGGCTGTCTCATCAATAGATGTGTCCAAACTTTTGACTGGTAGTGTCACGACTTCCTCCGAGGCTGCCTCCTCTCCTTGTTCGGGCAGGCTTCGTCGTTCGTCGTCACCGGCCTTCTAGCCACTGCCGCCCCTCATCTCATCATTCCATTTGTTTTGTCTTGTTTATTACACACACCTGGTTCATATCCCCTCATCAGTACCTGTATAAGTGTTCCCTCTGCCCCCTTGTCTTTGTGTGTGATAGTTTATTGTGAGGATAGTGAAGCTCGGTGGAGCTCCTTGTATTTTGTATCGCCGGGTTATTTTCCCTGTGTGCCTTGTTGGTTCCAGTGCGCCTGTTTTGTGCACTGGACTGTTTTGACGCTTTACTGCGTACTCTGTATTCCGGAATAAATCCTGTTATTCTGTGATTTACCCTCCTGCGCCTGACTCCTTCAAAATCCCCCAGCACAGGTAGTGTAGTTCTAATGCTAAACCACATAGTAACAGTAGGCACGGCAAACCCGTTTTGGTAATTTCTGGTATATCATCAAAATGCTTCAATAGTAGCACATCTTTGGACTCATTCAGCAGTTTTTAACTGCTTAAGTACAATACCATTGGAAATTAATGTTGAAAGTTCAATTTATATTCCTAAAACGTAACTTCCTGTTGACAAGACATTTTGATAAATAGCCCAATGTCAAAGTTTTAACATGTCCAAATTAATAACCAATATGCAAAAGCAGTTCGTGATATATTGAAAAATGAAATATAAAATGTAGTATCTACACATACAGTACATGTGCAACAATAGTAATCATATTACTTGTGTTTTTGTAAACGAGCACCTTATAAACTGCACACGCACCAAAAACCCTATCGATCAGGGGGGAAATCAGGTTGTACGCGTTGCTGAAACTAACACAACTAAAAAAAAACATAGAAACTGGAGATATTTTTTACATCACTGGTTAGAGAACAATCTGCAGACGACAGTCAGCTACATTTTGGAGTGATGCATTTTGATTTGGGATCGCCAAAACGGAAAGAGAAATGCAACACTTATTTGTCAATCAGTCATGTCAATATCACGTTGAGTTCAACTGCGCTAGAGGGGGTAGATGAGGTTGCACGTCCTGTTAAAACTAAGACAGCTCAAAAACCACACGGAATCTGGAAATAATGTGTACATTACTGGTTAGTTAGAGGACAATTTGTAGAAGACAGCTAGCTACATTTTGAAGTGTTGCATTTGTATTCAAGTGGGTCGCCAACCCGGTAAGTGTAACACAACACTTTTTTTTGTTAATCACTTCCATCGATATCACGCCGAAATCTATAGAACAGGGGACAAACGTTTGGGGTGTTGCGCTGTTTAAACTAACACTATTCAAAGGCCACACGGAAACTTGGAATAACCTATACATGGTTGGTTAGATGAGAACTTGTAGAAGGCTTATATCTATATTTTAGAATGTCGGATGTTGATTTCGGGAGGCTGCCATCATGGAAAGGGGAACAGACCACTTTTTCTGTTAGTTAACTTAAACATATCACGACGCGGCATAGGATATCAATAGTGACAACGGTTGGCTGCTATTTAACTGATAGTTTGACTGTCAAAACCATATATTGGTGTGTGGCCAGCAACTTTTATAGAGAGACCGCCCCAAGTCCTGCGCATCCCAGCACATGTGACAAAATCAAAGGTACAAAACCAAAGATATTGATCTGTTTTAAGCAATCAATCTTATGTCATCGTGATGACTGAACTTTTATTCTAACATGACCAATCTGAGGTAAAAAGGATGTGTAATTTCACTCAATTTTATGAGGTGAAAATGCAAGGTTGTGTAAGGTAGTAACACAAAATGTCCACATTAGGGAAATAAGCGCAAAATACACAGTAATTGGCAAAATAATTCAACATGTCAATTTAAGATGATAGTATATGTTGCCCACTCACAAAATATTGCAACAATGACATCTATTTCTCACTGATTTAACCATTTAGAGAGTTTAAAAATGCTCTCAAACACAATTTAACTGGGCGCTCTAGATTAGAGCCTCCATAGTGTCTGTGCAGCAGCCTGAACGTTTGACGTCCCTAGTAACAGTAACTCTCTACTGAAGGACCCTGGGTAGTGTAGTTTTAGTCTCACCTTTTCAGCGAACAGCACCATGATGGTGTATTTCCCTGCATTGAGGGGGGTGTACTTGACAGTGAAGGTGTCATTGTCGTTCTTGATGATGTCAAAGTCGATGTCAGCCTCAGCAGGACCCACCACTCCTGGAGAACACTTGATCCCAATACTGATGTCTCCTGTTGGAGGTCAATAGATACACATTAGTAATTAATTGTATATCTACTTATGAAGAAATCCCATAATACTGTGCCTATCAGTATCAATAACTTTCTGATCTTCTACAGTTGCAGGCACTAAAGTTAGGTTGGTATTGGCAGAAGTGCAAGACAATGCTCAACTGCCTTCTCTATGGAAGAAAGGGTTTCAAAAGGGTTCTAACAGGGTGAAAAGGTTATACCTGGAACCCTACAGGGTTCTTCTACAGGAACAAGCAGAAGAACACTTTGAGTAGTATTTCCTATTAACACACATACCTTGTCCAGCCTCTGCGCAGTCCACAGTGAAGTAGGTGGGCTCGTTGGCCTTGAGTCCTGTCTTCTCCACTCCTGGACCATACACCTTGACCTTGTCTGGATGGCAGCCCTCTCCAACAATCACCTATACACACAGACACACGCAATGTTATTCAGACAGAGGCTGGGCTTGTGTAAACTTGTCTGAGACCTGAAGACTTGCATTGGCTCCCCGTCCCTGACCTAATGCCCTTAGCTCAGTGGGCTATTGCGGTTTAATAACACACAGGATCCCAGTGGGTCGGTCCTACTCACCCTGAAGGGGCTGTTGGGCATGTTGACATCTCCCCAGGTGATGATGATGGTGTGTTTGATGGGCTTGGTGGGGACGTACACACACAAGAAGGTCCCGTCTCCCTTATCAGCGATCTTAATGTCGAACGTGACGCCCTCTGTATCCTTTGCGTAGATCTTCAGATGGCCATTGCCAGCCTCACGGGCATCGATGGTGAACTCTGCTGGTTTGTTTATGATGACCCCAGTGGGCTCCAGGCCTGGACCGAAAGCTTTCACCTGCAGCAGAGAGGTACACTTTAATGCGAGGTGCACAGAGGTACGATTAAATGTGTGTGTGTTTGTTTGTACATCAGTGTGTTTTTGTGTGTCATAAAGACTACTCCTGTAACGGTGGAGCTAGGCTGGAGTGGTGGGAGGAGATAACCTTCTCAGGGAAGCAGTCATTGGTTGCAGAGAGGATGTGGGCCATGAAGGGGCTGTCCTTGATGTCTTCGTCATCACAGATGACATGGACAGCGTAGTCACCTGGCTCAGTGGGCCAATAGCGGACATTGCAGGAGCCGTCACCCTTATCATCACACTCTATCTTAGCCTGGGATGGACCCTCGATAGAGAAGCCTGGAGACAGAACTTTTGACTTTAGTCTCCCAATCCTCAAGAGGCATATAGGTAATTTTCCTCTGCACCTGTTAGAATACCAACTGAACTTGTGACTATGAAGAAGTAGTGTGCCTTTTCTTAGAAAATGTAAAGATAAATTCCACTAAAGAGGTTTGATTTTGTTACTGTAATCTAATCCATTACTCTACTTGTTCAACTACATTACCCATAATGCCACATGTCCCTCATGTCCTGGCTTACCCAGAGTTCCCACTTCCGTGCCGATGGCCTCCACCACGAAGTCAGCTGACTTGCCCACCCGGCCGGTCAGCAGACCAGGACCCCAAGCTCTCACATTCTGAGGGCCTGCCACCTCACTCACCTCCACATCGAAGGGGCTGGAAGAAACACACAGAAACAGGTCATGATTATAACTACACAGCTCAGGAAAGGAGGGTATGTTGGAGGAGACTATGTAGGTGCTGGTCATTGGGAAGTGTAGTAAAGTAACACATTATGATAACTTTTATAAATAGTTTATATGCTATTATTAATGAGTATTTAATCATTAACAAACACTAATAAAACATTAAAAAGCATTATAATTAATAAGCATTTATACACCTTTATAAGCATTTACAACAGCTTATTGAAAGCTCTTACCTGTGTGGGATGGGCTGTCCTCCCCAGGTGATGTTGACGGTGTATTTACCAGTCTGGTTAGGAAGATATTCACATTCATAGACACCATCACCAATGTCTTTTACTTTCACTGGCTCCTCGGCTCTACTTGGTCCAGTCACTGAGACCTTGAGCTCTCCACTGCCGGCTCCCTTGGTGAAGACCTTGAAGTCTGCCACCTCCTTGACCCTCACCCCCTTCGGCTGAAGGCCTCGGCCTGTGGCACGACACGCGTTGGCATTGATGGCTGGAGAGAAGGAAAAGGGTGGTTAAGGAGAGTGGTACACAGACTGACAGATTGACAGACTAACCTAGCAGTATAGGACCAAATGGAGCTGGCAGGAGCATTCACATACGATACAATGTCGTATGCAAACATGATGCAGGCAAGATGCTGTAATGAATTTCCTCATTAAGGACAATTAACATAATCAGTCAATCAATTCCATAGGATACCAGATTTGAACTTTGACACAATGCAGTATAGGAATAGCACAATGCTGAATGTAGTACACTCACATTGTATAATACACATATATCAAAACAATAATGTATTGGTTGCAGCATGAACAAATTAATGGAGCTTCCAGGCATCAACTGACTTAACAACATTTCAGTCTAATAGAAACATTGATTGCAGGCTTGGTTATACTTAATAGTTTGAAGCAATGAAACCTAGGAACGCTAACCCAAAAATCAAGGAAACACAACAAGCCAAAACATTTCATAATGCAATCTGGGAAGCACTGACTCACTTAGACTAAAATCACTTTCCTGGAAAGTTTCCTACAAGTTAAGAACATTCACTTCGCTACATAATAGAGATGTATGAGATATCTGTCTCCAACATCAAGCTGCCACAGGCAAGGCAGCAACCGCCCAAGCAAGGCACTCTTTCTTGGCCCTCAGAGGGCATGGCATTGCCCCTGTCACAGGAAGCATACAGGGCATCTGCAGGACATAGGGCAAATGGCATAGGGCACAAGACATTGTGCATAGGGATGGTGGGGACCGGCTAGCATACCAGTGGGCACAACGGGCGCAGGCCTCAACCTAGACAACCCATACTAACTTGGTCTGCCTCTGGGGGTAAGGACACCCCCCTTCTTGCCCTCTGGGCCCTTCTCCCCACCGGGAGAGGTGAAGGCAGACAGGGGGATTATCTGAACTGGAAGAGGACCCACGATAGAGGGAGGAGCTAAAAATCACAGACAGGAGGTTGGTTGAACTTCAACATAACACTGACTGGTCGTCGTCGTGGTGACATGTTGGCTGCGGCGAGTGATTGAAACAACTGTGGAACTAGAGAGTGATAGATCAACAACGGAATGACACAATGCGACAGTAGTGTCAACAACAGTAATTTGTGTAGTGGCAGTTGGTGACTGTTAGTGACAGTTGGCTCAGTGCTAACTCACCCTCTGCGATTTGAATCTTGAAGGGGCTCTTAGGGATCTCCTGACCGGCAAACAGGACGTGGATGGTGTGGGGGCCCTCCAACATGGGCCGGTAGGTGCAACGGAAAACACTGTCCCCCTTGTTTTCCAAGATCAGTTCCACTGTGTCTTTCTTCCCCTCAGGGTCCACGATGACAACACTCACATCACCATTACCAGCACCTAGACAGGATAACAGGAAGACACCAATCAAAACACTGTTAACCAACCATGTGATCAAAACAAGGAAACGTGGAACATTGTTTTGGGCCCTCTCAGTAAATTCCTTCTCTAGTTTTACCAGTTTTGCAAGGAACTCATCTGATCACTGCTACTAATGTTTTCCTTGTCTGGTGTGTCCTCACTCCTTACCTGCAGTGTAGATGTCAAAGTAGGTGGGTTTGTTGGCCATGTTGCTGGTAGCTTCCAGCCCTGGTCCTCTGGCCTGGACCTTGCTGGGATCACCTATGGCCTTGGCCACTTTCACTGTGTAGGGGCTCTTATCAATATCCTGCCCAGCAAACAGCACTTTCACCTGAGGAGAGAACCAGTAAAATGTTCCTTTAAAAGCCCAATGCAGACTGAAAAAATAAAATAATAATTCAAATAGTTTGTGGGTAACCATTCATTAGCTTACTGTAATAGATTTACATTAAAATGGGCAAAAATAGACAGTCTGGGAGTGGTGTGAGTGGGGAGGGAAAAACTGAAAACTAGCTGTTATTGGCAGAGGTTTGGAACTTTGTTATTGGTTTATTAACCAATTTACTGCATGGTGATGTCACCATGGAAAGCCAAACCTCCTGCCCATGCAAACCTGGTGATTAGAAGGTCCTGTGTAGATTGTATTTTCAACCAGCAACTATCAGGAAATAACACTGATCAAATCTTTTCACACTTTTAAAGTGTTAATTTCATCAGCTGTTGTACAATATGATACAAAACAATTGATTTTGACTGCATTGGGCCTTTAAGTTTTCCTTTAAAGAGTTCCAATGGGCTAGTAGTATATTGTGATGATGAGATGTGTGTATAGTAAAGTCAAGTCAAGTAAGAATGTAAAGTTAAGGAAAATACATCTACATGGGACATTGATGGTAGTGATCAGTTACCTTGTGGGCGCCCTCAACCTTGGGGATGTAAATGACGGTGTAGGTCCTGTTCTTGTCGTTGTTGAAGACAATCTTAGCCTCCTCAGTGTGTCCCTCAGGATCCGTGACATACACCAGCACCTCAGCCTGACCTGCCTCCAGAGTTTCCACTGTGAACACTGCTGGCTTCAGAACCATGTTTCCATGGGGCTCAATACCTATGGGAGAGAGAGGAATATCACTTTATTGTCCAATGTCCATGAATTTCCAGCAGAATTTATAGATAGGAAAAATATGTGGAAAATAGAGCGTTAGAGGTGTTTGAGTCTATGGGCAGTATATGAAACAATACATAATGCTTATCAGAGATCCTGATTCACTTACATTACTTTACATTTTAGTCATCGGGGAGATGCTTTTATCCAGAGCAACTTACAATCAGTGCATTCAATAAAGTAGGTAAAACAACCTCAAGACTTACGCAAGTAACATTTTCTTTATCTACAAAATCAGTGCTAGATTCAACACACCACTGTGCTAAAGTATGGTCCCTATCCCAGTGGTACCCACCTGGTCCGTAAGCCTTGGCTTTGTTGGGGTACAGCTGAACCCCTTTAGGTTTGAGGGGAGTGCCAGGCTTCAGTTTAGCCTTTGGGAACTGGGACAGGTAGGTCATCACGGACTGTTCATCCACTTCCGGATCTACAATCTCCTCAGGGTTGATCACCTAGGCCACAAGGAGAGCGTGAAAGGTTAGTTACCTAGTCAACAAGCAGAAGGTCATGGGTTAGGGCAGTAGTTTTTAACCGGTGCCTTGAGGAACTCAGGAGTGCCGCGAAAGGTTTCCTGATCTTGATAGTTTTTTGGAACACTCACACTCCTGTGGAATGCATATGGAATTTTGACTTGGGAGTAACAGTACCGCTCAGATAATACATTGAATGGTATATGGTTACGTCTGTATCGCTGTTTCAAGTCTGGTGCGCTCAGGCTGTTGTTACGTTATCATTTGAGGGGAGCGCATCATGAGCAAAGTCATTTGTAGGCTATCATTTTACTTTGCCTGTGAGAACCATTAGCACAGGCAAGTCTGATTAGGCTTAGCTGTAACAAAACAAACGCTTTGTGTCCGTGATTGCACCCCAATGCACAAAACCGCTCGTCTGTAGCCCAAACCGTTAAAAACGAAATACCTTTTTTACCAGAGCTAAACAAATATCTTCCTAGTGGGGATTCACCGGACGCTCTTAAAGAGGTACACACAGATTAATCATCATGAGTAAAGAACTATGACAATAGTTCAAATAAACACAATTTAATCTGTAAAAAAAAAATTGTCACAGAAAATAGAGGATTTGCAGTATGGATCTGATGAGAAGGAGGTCATTACCACTAAATTAATTAATAGGGAAATTTTTGGTGTGGCGCAGAATTTCTTATCCCATCAAGGTGTGCCACGGTTAAAAAAAGGTTGGGAAACACTGGGTTAGGGGTCAATATAGCCACAATTGTCTTACTTGACTTAAACCCTTTTGCCCCATGGGGAGAATAGATCAAAGCACATATGTATTCACCCTTAAAGTTGTTGTCTGGTCTTTACTGTAAATAGTCTTTAAGAAATGGCATAAAATACATTTGATTTCTCTATTGTTTGTGTGTTCTGTATACCAATGTGAAGGCACATTTCCACATTGCATAGATACTATTTCTATACTATTTCATTGTCTCCCTCCTCCTCCTCCACTCCCTCTTTCTCCCTCCCTCCCTGTTTGTTGGCCATATCACAGTGTGGTGTAAAGTTCTCTGTCTATCTTGACCCCAGTACAGCAGGGTTAACGACTGTGGCCTCAGTAAACCATGATTTAGCCCAGAGCCAAGCACTCTCCCACACCTCATCTACAGCTCACAAGACAGCCCTCAGCCCGGGGAGAATTCAGCCCCCTAGGCCTGGGGCCTGGGAATCCATGACACCCAAGGCTCTCTCTCACTATGATACACACCCTAAGCCAGCTCAATATACACCCTAGGCCAGCTCAATATACACCCTAGGCCAGCTCAATATACACCCTAGGCCAGCTCAATATACACCCTAGGCCAGCTCAATATACACCCTAGGCCAGCTCAATATACACCCTAGGCCAGCTCAATATACACCCTAGGCCAGCTCAATACAATATACACCCTAGGCCAGCTCAATATACACCCTAGGCCAGCTCAATATACACCCTAGGCCAGCTCAATCTACACCCTAGGCCAGCTCAATCTACACCCTAGGCCAGCTCAATCTACACCCTAGGCCAGCTCAATCTACACCCTAGGCCAGCTCAATCTACACCCTAGGCCAGCTCAATCTACACCCTAGGCCAGCTCAATCTACACCCTAAGCCAGCTCAATCTACACCCTAGGCCAGCTCAATATACACCCTAGGGTGATGCCATGTCACGAATTGCCGTTTCACTGAGACTATGCACGCGGTGTATCAGATAAACAAGTGAACAAGTAGATAAACACCCACTCAAATAGTACATTTGACAGTGTCAGTCTTGGAAATGAATTTGGCAAATCTACACCTCAGCATCTCAATCTATAAGCAAGGCTATAATCATGCACCTACTCAACACTCAAAGAAATACATCTACAGTAAAAGTGAAACATAGTAGACAGTATAAGACACCTTGTCACGTATTGTCCCTGTGTTAACCAAAACATCCATTACATTTCATTCACTAGCTCCACAATGTGCCCTTACAAACAACATGTGGTTTTCGGACACGTGTGAATCCGTGTGTGAACAAATCCTATAAAAATGTCACCTATATATTTTTTTATCTACAAAAAAAAAAATCAGGTGACATTTTCATAAGTCACACACGTGGTTTTCGGACATGTGTGACATTTCACATACATCTTTCACATCTGAAAAACAGACGTGGTTTCCCAACATTTCACATGTGATAATATACATTTCTCATGTGTGCTTTTATAACTGGTGGGATTAGAACCCAGGTCTTCTCATGTCCACTACACTTTCACATGTGCATTTTTATATTTTAATGTCAACTAGGGCTGTCAAATGATTAAAAAATGAAGTTGACTTCATTGCAGGATTTGTTGTGATTAATCACAATTAATTTAAGATTTCTTATACAAAAAGCATTACAAGAATATTGACTTCTTATTTTTGTCCAAAGTAACAGTTAGCAAAATCAGGTAAATTGATAAACACACTTTCTTTAACCTCAAACTCAACCTCAAAGTTTCATTGTTGTTTTTAGCTTTAAATTACAAAAAGCTAACTTGAGTTAACTGATTAACTCTGACAGCACTAGTTTTACATGTTAAACAGGGTAAATAAGGAGACACGGAGCGCTAGCTTCTCTTCACTGGGCTTCTTCCAACGGTCACTGACCAATGTATGAAAAAGAGAGTTTGCCTGCCAGGAGTAACACTCCAAATGGATGGCTCAGAAATAAGAAATCATTATTTTTAAAGCACTTTAATTATTATACTCAGTTAGGCTAAGTTACCTTCTTCCAGAATGGCATTACATAACATTGCTACTGCAACATGTTAACACCACCTTTTCACGTGTGAGGAGAATAACGCTATTTCACCACCACATTTGAGTTTTCTTCCATGTGAAACTGTAAATGTGATTTTTACATGTGAAAATGCAATTCCATATGTGAAAGTGAGATTTTCACATGTGGAGTTTTCTTACATATGAAACTGCAAATGTGATTTATACATGTGATTTACTTTCACATGTGAACTTGCATTTTCACATGTTAAACTACAAATCTGACAAGCCTCAAGGGGCTTTCCGTGGACAGTTGTCCCCAGAGTAGTGTGTCTTACCTGGGGCACGCCCAGCCAGTCGTCAGCTTGCTGCATGGCCTCTCTGGCATTCTCCACAGGCTGGTTAGGGTCCCAGGCCTGCCAGTCAGGGCACAGACCTACAGGGAGAGAGAGAGGGAAACGACGGGAGAGAAGTAGAGAGGGAAGAAGGAGGGAGAGACAGGAGTTTTAGAATAGAATCAGGGTTAAGATGGCATCCGCTAACAATTACATAACAGTGTCTTATCTGGTTACAGAAACAACTAAGATTATCATCATTACTACCCTCCTACTAATTACTACTAACACCCTACCACCCTGTGAGACCATGTATTTACCCACGCTGCTCTGCTCCAGTTTGTATAGATAGGTGTATAGCTAGTCCTCAATGGAAGTGCTTCGATTTCAAAACAACGAAAGCAACAGACGTCCTTTCACTTTCCCTGCCGGACACTGAGGGCTAAAGCAGACAGGCTAAACACTAGAAATAGACTTACTAGAATGAGCATTCCCATTCAAGTCAATGGGTCTATGATGTGTGGACCGCAATGTAATTCTATTTCTATGTGCTTACGTGCCTTGTGCTGCTAATGCTTAATTAGCTGTTGGCGATGCAGTGAGTTCACTGACTCAAAGAACCCAGAGCGCAACAGGAGTTTATTATGACGTTATTATTGACGCCGTGGAGCTGCTGTGTTACTGTAACGTTACTGTGACGTTTAAACAACGTTTACATTACATTGATCTGACGCTGGACATTGAGGACATTCATTATGTCATAGTTATTCACCGTAACTGAGAATAACATTGTGATTAAAAAGTCAGCAATTGTTGGGTGGAGGGAGGACGGGTGGGTCTTCTGAAAGGAATGCATTACGACAGTGGAACTAATGTCTGACATTTCGCCAAAGTAAAACATTCATGTTTCAAGTTGCAGGTGATTTCAGCTTTGGACTTAAGCCCAGCCTCCTCCACCCATATTGATATTTCAATTCTATTACATTTCAATTGGACACTGAAGAATATTGTCAGGCATACACAAGAAATACTTTCTAAAAAAAAGGAGGGGAAGACTCTTGTTCTACCTGATTTCTCCTGCTGTACCAAAACTATGTCTGTAAAGTATAGATACATTACAAACTAACTCTAACGACTTGAGCAGGGCAGGATTTGTCAACTTCCTAAATGCTATTACATGTTCAGTAAGGAACAAGGGCCTTGTATGGTCTCATCTGTAGCTAGTTAGGTGTTTGAAAGCCGCTGTATCACGTCATGTAAACATTCAACCACAGTGTTCTAGACTCCTCTCTCTGTTCTATAACTCAAAAAGGAGACTTTTTAAAGCTGCATGTCAGAGGGTCAGAGTGTGCTGTAACTTCTGGTCAAATTGGAGGCGTTTCAAGTCGACGAGTCATCTCTGTGAATCTCCACTCCTGCTCCAAAGCTTTTCCTCGTGCCATCAGTCTCTAGCACAGAACGGCCTGCTTTTTAAAGACGTGCCAAGCATATAAGCACATCTCCCTTGACAGATGAAGAGGAATCGTGCCCAAATTTGGGGGTGTTGTGTGGGGAGTCTGAAGAGAGCTCCTTCACTTAGTCTGGGACAGCTGGCAGGGACGTCCTAGAGCTCTTTCTCTCCTGTCTTTCTCTGTCTGTCTGTCTCTCTCTCTCTCTGTTGATTTTTCAATCTCTCTCTTCTCTCTCTCTCCCTCCCTCTCTCTCTGTCCTTGTCTCTGTCACTCTGTCACGCGTCTCCCGAGTGGCGCAGTGGTCTAATGCACTGCATCGCAGTGCTAGCTGTGCCACTAGAGATCCTGGTTCGAATCCAGGCTCTGTCGTAGCTGGCCGTGACCGGGAGACCCATGGGGCGGCGCGCAATTGGCCCAGCGTCGTCCAGGGTAGGGGAGGGAATGGCCGGCAGGGATGTAGCTCAGTTGATAGAGCATGGCGTTTGCAACGCCAGGGTTGTGGGTTTGATTCCCACAGGGGGTATGAAAAAAATAAAATAATGTATGCACTAACTGTAAGTTGCTCTGGATAAGAGTGTCTGCTAAATGACTAAAATGTAAATGTAATGTATTCCTCTCTCTCTGTCCCACTGGCTAAACAGGGCCACCGAGGCCTACTGCCACTGCCAGGCTGTGTAAGTGATACCGTATTGAATACAACAACTGACTCATAGCTGACCCTGACATCTCACCACAGTAACTTCCCAGCCATGTGTCTGATGGAAGATGAGATGACCTGGCACAGCACTTACCAGGGATCTACCATTCTCCTTTAGTCACATTAACTAGCACCAAACTGTTCCGGAGTCAGTTCTTACCAGGGGCACAGTTAGGGAAATCGGTTTCTTGAGCATACCGAGATGTTACACTGAATTTCTGCCTCGACCAAAAATTTGTATCTTGACCATACCAAGATGTTACAAACATTTCTGCCTCAAATTGGAATTGGTATCTTTAACATTGCGAGATGTTACATAGGATTTCTGCCTCAAATTGAAATTGGTATCTTGAGCATTGCGAGTTGTTACAAGGATTTGTGCCTCGACCAGAAATTGATATCTTGAGCATTTGTGATGTTTTGTATGTGACTGTGTTCTGATGAAGAGATATTCTCCTACCAGTAACTAAAGTTCCCATGGGAGAGTATTGTGTGTGGGAGGGAGGTGTGTTCTGAGGACATATACGGGCAACAAGAAATCCACATGAACTAACCAGGGGCACAGTTGTCTACCAGGGCTCCCAGGGCCTTGCCATCCCTCCAGTCTCGGTGGAAGTTGTTGATGGGCAGCTCAGGCACCTTGTTCTGGATCCATCCCAGCAGCCTCTGCTTGGGGGTCAGTTTCTTGGCCTCCTCATCGTCCTCGTCCTCCCACATGGGCATGGAGATGGAGTAGTGCAAGATCAGAGTCCAGATCAGACCCAGGATCAACTTCAGGTTCCCATCCACGATGGCCTTGGAGTCTGGAGGGGAGAGAAACACAGATCTAGGATCAGATTTGGGTTCCCATTCATCATGGCAACAAGCAATGTTACGTGTATGGTTTTTTCTCAGACCAAATAGACTGTTTGGTATCTGAGTCTTTAGATAAACAAAATGGCCTTGAGATTACATCTACATTTTAGTCATTTAGAAGACACTCTTATCCAGAGCGACTTACTATCACATCTATCAAGTCTGACCTGACTTCCACTCTCTCACCCCACCCCAGACACTCCTCTCCAACAGGAGAGTGACTGAGTATCCCTGGTATTCCACATACAGACAGACAGATTCAATGGACATGGTTGGGCACCAGAGACAACAACAGCTCAACAGCTGAGGACATACAGTATGTTGATATGGAATCCTTCCCAAAGTCAACAGCACTCGGATTTCAATTGCTTTGAAAGTACTTTGGAAAATCAGTTACCTTTAGTTTGCGATAAATCCAGGAAGATGCACTAAGTAGTAGGACAATAAAAAGACCAGTAATCATGCCAACAAACTTAACCAGTGTATCCTTAGAATAGTCAATTATCTTGGTACCTCTTAAAAACTAACCACACTCACAGACTATACATAAACCAAACAATAACATCTTACTTTGATTAAGAGTAGACAATAAACTGGAGAGAGTAAAGTGTATCCAAAACCATTGTGCAAAAGGCTAATACATTCCATATACATATAAGGGAAATTTTTCAACTTCATATTCATAATCTCCAGCACCACCCCAACATCAACATATGTGAAAATGGCAGGTTTCTATGTTTAGTAGTAAATAAGATAGAGGAAGATACAGTGAGTATACAAACCATTAAGGACCGTGTATGTGTGCCATTCAGGGGGTGAATGGGCAAAACAAAAGATTGAAGTGCCTTTGAACTGGGTATGGTAGTAGGTGCCAGGCGCACTGGTTTGTGTCAAGAACTGCACCGCTGCTGGGTTTTTCAAGCTCAACAGTTTCCCATGTGTATCGAGAATGGTTCACCACCCAAAGGACATCCAGCCAACTTGACACAGCATTGGAGTCAACATGGGCCAGCATCCCTGTGGAATGCGTTCGACACCTTGTAGAGTCCATCCCCCGATGAATTGAGGCTGTTCTGAGGGCAACTGAATATTAGGAAGGTTTTCCTAATGTTTGGTATACTCAGTGTAAGTGTTTCCAATGATATCATCAACCAATCAGTAGACAATTAGTAGGCAATATCAAGTGGAGAGGCTGGTCATGTGAGTTGTTTATTTCTGAGTCTATGATTATTTATTCTAATGGGCCCTATTTGATAAGGCCCATTATACTGACTGGCATACGCCAGTGGAGGTGTTTTGTGGCATGTGGTGTGTGGTGTGGTGGAGGGGCTGCATGGCTTTATGTGGTTTTAATACTGCCATATCAGGTTTTATGGACAGCCATGTGCCATGTGGTCAAACAGTCATCTGGCAAAAAGTGTGTGCCAGTGACGTGCTCAGTATCAATTCATTTAGTATCCGTAGGTTGCTGTGACAACACAGAAACGTTATTTAAAGGCTTGTGTTCACTGTTCACCCGGGGCTTGGTGCTGCTGCATCAAGTCTCAAGAGGCAGACGTCAGGAGAGGAATGACAGCGCTGCTGTTATCGTGTCCCGTTTCTGTCAAGCTGACAAGGTCGAAAGTATGGACACCTTCTCCGCCTGTCACTCCCCAACACACTCACTTCGAGGTGGGCATTGTGTGAATGACCCCTAACCTCTTTGCTGACACTATACTGCAGGATGCTGGGACATTCCAGAGGCATGAGGTCCGTCGCTCTCCATAGAGAGTCCCCCTGGGCATCACGACACACATGCCGTGCCCTTTACAACCACACGCTCAAAGCGACGGTTACACTGGGAATTTCACTGGGCCTTGTGGGGAGAGTAATCAGTCACCAATGTCATGGGTTTAATAACCCTTCTCCTAAGTGAAATGTGAGGCTGGAAAACGCTAGCTAGGCTTCTTATAGTCCCGTTTCTTCTCATAGTCCCGTTACGCAAGATTTTAGCTCTGGGTTAACCGAGATAACTGTTTATCTAAAGCCACTGCTAAGTGTGTCCCCTGCTTATTCTACCAGTACACAACCTGTCCAGTATAAAATGACATTATTGCAACCAGCTCTGCCCACTTGAAGTACTGTATGTGTCTATGTCTATCTAGTGGCTGCTGCTAAGGGAGTACAGGGTCCACAGAGTCCAAGGTTCAGCATCTATGCCTCAATCACTCATCCCAGGGTTTAGCTACCTCTATGATTATCCCTAACACATCGCACATGCATTCAGCCAGCCTAAACCTCACCTCATAACCTCCACACTATCCCAGGAGGATTCTGGCCATGCACCCACTGTTAAGCTAGCCTGGTCCTAGATCAGTTTTTGCATTATAGCCAACTCCTATCATCTTTCTCATAATTCCTCTGATATACAAAACAATGACCATAGGATTTGGCTATACAGCCCTAACTGATCTGGGACCAGCAGGCTACTTTAGTGTTAAGCAGGCCGTAGAGTTAGTGGCTGTCGACATAAACCCATTTCCTGTCCCTTTAACCCTTGGCTTCACTCCTCTGACCTTTAGTGAGTGTGATTATGAGGTGTGGAGTGTGTGCAGAGTGATAGGGGTGTGTGTGTTGTGTGTGTCTGTCTGTGAACGCGTGCACAGCATCGTTGTGTGTCATTCTCATTCACATGGTCCTGCTGAATTTCCAGAGCCCAGAGCGATGGCCTGCCACTGCCTACCACAGTAGTTTGAGTAAAACATTTGCAACCTTGAGAGTCCAGGATGGATGGCTTCAGTCTTGGCCCTGACATGGGGCAGTGATCTCAATGGCACCTCTGCTGTAAGAGTTTCCAGAGAGATGACTGACCCATGCCCACTTTGTGAAAGTCATGCATCAGTAGAGCACCTGACAAACGGGCAGTGGTGTGTATTCATGGATGCCAAGGGAAGCCAGGCCCCCCCAAATATTTGACCAATAAAAAATGTTTTACAAAATAAAAAATTGTAAATGTATATATTGTCTCTCTCTGTGTTTTTATATAATTTTCCGTAAATTCGCAAGTGGCTGAATCTCACTGGAGAAATCATCCGAGCGAGGGAAACAGCTCCCCTCTGTCTTAGTATGTGTAGCCCATGTATCTGATGCTGTCTGGACCAAAAGAGTATAACATGTTACCGCCGTAGCATTTTATTGATTGATGCCAGCAAGCATTTGGCCTCCCTTGATAAACATTTTTATAAAATAATTAGCCAATCAGCGTTGAGCTGAGCTCAACTGTGGGTTATCCTGATGCAGCTTAACGCCCCCCAAGGGAGGCCAGTTTGGATTTGGCTTCACACCAATCAAATCACTTCCTAAGCTAAATATAATTTTCAGAAAAACTTGTCTGTTTCTGGTCAGCTTGTGTTGATGTCCTGCAGTAGCTAGCTTGCTAAATCAGCTCTTTCATTTACATTACATTTTAGTCATTTAGCAGACGCTCTTATCCAGAGCGACTTACAGGAGAAAGTAGGGTTAAGTGCCTTGCTCAAGGGCACATCGACAGATTTTTCACCTAGTCGGCTCTGGGATAGAACCAGCGACCTTTCGGTTACTGGCACAACGCTCTTAACCACTAAGCTACCTGCCGCCCCCCACTTCATTGCTTCCACTTACAGTCCAGTCCTTAAAGTCAATTTCCTAAGCCATGGATGACTTAATTCTCTGTACAGGCCAATGATTTTAATGGCGATTCTGATCTAACCATAAATTAATATGTTGTGCCACTGGCCTGAGATGATTGAAGTTCAATATGTAGCTTAGATGTAGCTTAGTAGGCTCACGTTAACTAGCTAGCTAACTTAGCTGGTTCATTGTTGCCCATGCAAGGAATTTAGGCTAGCAAACATTTTAGCTAGGTAGCCTATGACAACTAAAACTGAAAGTGTACTGTATGACAGAGCTGTAGACCGTTTTGTTTTACTTTCACGTGCACGCACACACACACACACACACACACACACACACAGAGAAATCAGTGCCATGGCCAGCCACATGATATTTAGCAACATTGATTGGACTAAATTGTTTTTGGTATCTTTAAGTTTGTTTTCAGTGTATAAAACTAAGCATGTATAGTGTTGTTGATTTGATGATGTTTAAATGTTTAAGTTGAAATGGTGCTGGAATACCGGAGGCAGTGCTCCTGTTGTCTACGTGCTGACTTGCGGTAACTCTGTGGTTCAAAATCTTCCTTGACCATGCTGCAGGTGATATAACTGTTTGTTACATGGAATATTTGCTTTATGGACTTCACTGGACAGATGTTGCTCTCCGGTTTTGAGATGAAACAAACGTATGTGCTGTTGTCACTGTGTGACTGCTGTCTTTTTGTTGTCTAGGCCTTATTGTATTTCACGGTGGCGTATGAACGAATGGGTTATAGAGCAAACAACATAATTATCACAACATAATATGGCTTTTTTACTGGCTTGGCTTGGCTTCCTCAGCGATTTTACCCAGGCACCTCTACTGCAAACTGGATTTACAGAGGTGCCATAATACTGTAGTATGGATGGATGTTTAGACTCAGGCTGAGTCACTCAGCTGAATGATTCAAATCGGTCTCTCAATAATATGTGGTCGTCAATCTAAGATCCACTATTGTGTAAACACATATTATTACTCTACTGTGTATTATGTGAAGTACAAATATTTTCTGAAATGACGCTGACAGTCTATAATTCATGTATATCCATTGATTAATTAATAATTAATGAATTCATTTCTGTATAGTCTATATTGTAACCTAAAGAAAATTGATTTATGAATCAGTAAAAAAGCTATTATTTTGATATATTTTGTTAAAATGAATAAGAGGCAGGTGTTGTTCTGTTCTGTTATTCCCTCTGTCCAGATTGAACTCCCTCTCCTCCTCTCCCTCTCAGCCCCTCTCTCTCCCTCTCTCTCAAAGATGAATAATAATAAATAAAACATTGCCCCAAAAGCTCAATTATCACTTACCAATAGACACCAACTTGATGTGTTCCCTGTCCAAGAATTCAAGAGCCACAGACACATTTTCCAGTTTCATCTGTCTGAAATTGGGTCTATTGTGGTGCTTTCTGTACATCTTCTTCTGGCTCAGAACTTCCAGAAGCCCGATAAGCTTTAAACCGTCGCCTAAATCCTTTTGCAAGTCGGGGATGCTCTTGTTGATGCACTTGAGGTGCTCGTTGCACCACCTGGTAAAAGTGTTCTGTTGTATTTTCTTCCATGGCGCATCCTCGGCAAGGTCCTTCTCTGTAGCCGGCATCTCGTCTTCCTCGTCCCCTTCAAAGTTGTCGGTGCCCTGGTAGTACTGTGGTGGATGGCTGTCGTCGTAGTAATGTGTATTATTGCTTGACATGCTGGCGGTTTCCGTGTGTGCCTTTTTATACAGAAAGTCAGACGGATGTGTGAAATTATCTGCAAAAAAGTTTAGCCGGTCGATTCCAAGCGCGCGCGCACTCTTGCTGTGGTAAAAGTTCAAAATTTGGAGAGAGGAGTTTAAAAAAACGTTCCCTGGAGACTTTTTGGAATAAATTGTGAAGAACCACTTCTTGTTAGGACAATTATGAATTAAATGGTCCGAATTACAGCACTTGCTGCTGCACCGCGGCCGGCTAATGGTTTTTAATTGGCTGTGGCTTGACAAATGTAGTCGCTGCTTCTTAAGAGATAGGCTCAGAGAAGAATGTCGCTTTTTTTTGTTGTTGAAATGATGCTTCAGTTCAGTTCGTTCTATAGCAGGTGAGTAGAGTAGCAGATGGTTTCACGCACTGTAGTTCAGTGAGTTCTGTATGAGAGTCAGTTAAACTTGAATGGTGTGAGGTGGGCAAGAGCGGGGTATATGAAGGGACCATGGGACTACGTCACACCCGTCGTAGACACCCATGTCATAACTACAATCATAGACTATTTTCTAATCTATGTGGATAACGGGAGGAGTCAGGATTGGCGGTAAGGGATGATATGGCAGTGATTCATTCACTATGGGTCGGACCCCATGCATGCGGCACAACAGTTGTGACAGTGCGTTCTATTTTTAGACACTCCAATTTGGGTGGTGGGAGGCTAGGACTTCTCGGTTGTAGCCTAGTGTGTCATGTCCATAGTGGTTAAACAATTGATCCAAGAGAAGAAAATGACGTATCCTAAAATCAAGTGGGCCTCATTATGTGGCTTAGTTGTGGTTTATATTTGGTATTTTATCTTTGATGGTTATTTTGTCCTTTTGCCCCTTTTACAACTTTGCTAAATCCTTGTAATAGCCTAATCTTTCAATTGATAGGCAATATTTTTTCTCAAAGAGAGGGAGAAAGAGAGAGGTTTAGGAAGGCCTCATAAAACATGAGGTCCCATAGCCTTTGCTAGTGGTTCATCGTGCTACAAAGCCACTGTATTTTCCCTTTCCATTATGTATGATTCACAATTATGTGTCACCTCTGGGTGAAATATGTATTTTGAATAAACAAAATCACAGAGGTTAACAATGTGTTCCTCCATGAACAGTGTAGTGTCCCTTCTTTTTGCTTCTGGGCAAATGATGGACAGAGGTCACACCGGAGAAAACTTTGATGTCATATTATGTAATCCCAGTCAAATAACATAAACACTAGCATGAGCAAATGGTATTTAGACCAGACATTAGTCTGGAAAGTTGGCTATTGTTTAAGTTTCCTATAGCTCTGAGAATGTTCAAAAGAGTGATTGATTAACAGAGTGATTGATTAACAGATTATATGTGACTCGTTTCAGGAAACTAGGCATCTCTACTTCACAGGAGAGGCATTTGAACGTAAACCATTTTAAAAAATCAAAATGCGTGTTTTGGCAGAAATGCCTTCTGGAACATGTGAACTTTCATGTGCCTTAATAACAAACGTGTATGCCATCTGTAAATATGAATACAATTGTTAAATTACGAGCCTAGTTGGTTTAGCAATGGAAAAAGACAGGAACCATCCCGCTAGCCATCATTGGCTGAGATATGGGCTGGACATGGCGAGAGATTAGTTCAGATTGGTCTGTAGCACATTTCTGTCTATAACATGAGCTGCTCGGTATGTGGAGGTAATCCTTTCTAATGCGGCTTTCTGGAGGACCGAGTTTTGAAATCAGTGGAATGCCCGGTGGAAGCAGAGTATGATAGCTAAGGAGATGGAGAAAATTCAGGCGTTTGATTGCAAAAATGCAGAGGCAGTCAAAAAGAGAACACACAGAAGGCTGGTGTATAAATCACTTCTCTGGATTACATCTTCAAACTAAGGGCAACCATGGCATCCGTGACAGAGAGGGAGAAGCATTCATCCATGTATACGGGTAAGAGAGTCTAGCTAGCTACATTTTCAGATATTATACATTACTAATTTTGTCAGAAAGTCGTTTTCATTGCAAGTTAAAGTGTACTGTTAGCTAGCTAGCTAAAGTTAGCTGGCTTGCTGGCTCGCTAGCTAGCTAATGTTATGTGTATGATCTGTGTAGTAATATTATTCGTATCTCAGAGCCATTTGCGTTGCTAGTTATAGCCTAGTGTTAGCTAACTAGCTAACATTGAACCTAGTTGGTTAGCTTTAGCTACCTGTAGATTCATGCAGGGTAGTAATGGTATGAGTTGGGATTATGGTTCATTGTTTAGCTAGCTAGCTACATGCCTAAACAAAAGACTCCACTACGCAAGTAACCATTTCACCGTACCTTTTACACCTTCTGTATCCTGTGCATGTGACAAATAAACGTAGATTTCATTTGATATAGTGTGTGTTTACCAGAGACGGTAATGTGAAGAACAACATGACTTGCACCAAATTAGGATGTAACGTTAGGCCAACGAGACAGTGTCCAATTTCTTACATTCTCCAGTAGAATGCCCTGCTTTTATTTCGTTACACTCACAACCGTAAGCTATTTTCTGTAATTAGCTTGCCATTAACTTAAATAAATAATGATCTTGTTGTGAGTTTATTTTCCTGTAATAATGAATACAAATTAGCTAAAGTTAAGACATTGTCAGCTGTATGGTCATTATTTGAACTGGCTAGCCAGCTAACTTGACGTTAGCTAGCTAGCTAACAAGCTAGAAACTAACCAAAACATTGTTTAGAACGTTGCTTTTAGTTGCCTGGTTTGCTAGATTGACATATACTAAATTAATTTTTAAACGGATGGGTTTATTGTTGTTAAAATACCAGTTATGCTATTTTGGACCAACAAGCTACTGATGTCATGCCGCCTGTCGTTTTTGTGTTTATACTTTTCATAACAACAACGACAAGTTTGATGTCAGACAACAATATAATGTTTATGATGTCACTGTGACAACTGTATACATACATGTCGATAGACGTAGTATAAACAAGCCTTTAGTCTTAAAATCTTTGGTTGTTTAGTACACTACCGTACTCACACTGTTTAGCACATCGCCTCACATGTGAATCCTTAAAGAGATGGGTGGGGCTAAGGCTTAAGAGGGTGTGAATGATACTGAATGGGTGTAGACAAAGAAAGTTCTCCAGTAGGTGTACCAAAACATTAAAGGGCCATTTTCTCTAAAAATGGGGTTACAAGTTGATCAACTTTCAAAGCAGAATTACTTACCCATTGTTCCTTAACTGTAGTGTATGATATACCATGTTCTAGCTCGGAGTCTACTTTTATCCAATGTAAAAAACATAATTTCAAATTTTGCTACATAAGACCGAAACGAGCCGGTTGGTCACATTCAGTATGTTGTTATGTTATGAGCCTATAATAACATATCAATTAAGTAACAGATAATCAATGAGGGGCTATTACAGTCCATGGATTAAACATTTAATTTTTTTTCATTTTAGCAGACACTCTTATCCAGAGTGTATACATTTTAAAAATTTCGCTTAGGGGCGCCAAAAAATGCTAGGGCTGGCTCTGACTGCGTGTCTGGATATGGATGTGGGTATGCAGACCCTCGAGCAGTGTTACAACCCAAGTTGAGCAATAATATTACAGTTCCTTTCCAACAAGTCAATTTGTCAAATGTCTGCCCTGCTAGAGCTGCCCTGGTCAACTGTAAGTGCTGTTATTTTGAAGTGGAAACATCTAGGAGCAACAACGGGACTACCAAGTGCTGTTCTCGGTTGCAACACTCACTACCGAGTTCCAAACTGCCTTTGGAAGCAACATCAACTGCCTTTGGAAGCTGTTTTTTCATGGTTCGGGCTAGACCCCTTTGTTCCAGTAAAGGGAAGTCTTAACGCTACAGCATACAATGACATTCTAGACGATTCTGTGCTTCCAACTTTGTGGCAACAGTTTGGGGAAGGCCCTTTCCTGTTTCAGCATGACAATGCCCCCGTGCACAAAGCGAGGTCCATACAGAAATGGTTTGTCGAGATCGGTGTGGAAGAACTTAACTGGCCTGCACAGAGCCCTGACCCATCGAACACCTTTGGGATGAATTGGAATGCCGACTGCGAGCCAGGCCTAATCACGTTATTTCCCCTTGCATCCCACCTAGCATTTAGTTTGGTACAGCGGGGGTCAATGTAAGCCTCACTGTCTGCCTGTCCGACTTGGAAACAATGTTTCACTTTTTCATTTTGATCTCTTTACAATAGGGAGTGAACGGTCCCCAGACGAGACGAGACAACTTTTTCTGATCCAGGCCAAATCACGCATCAATGTCACTATCATGGACATATCCAATTAAATTCCAATTTTAAAAAGCTGAAACAAACGACAATGCAGCAGGGGCAGTACCATCATTCCAAGTTCACTATTTGACATGACTGTTAGTTGAAGTTGGCTAGCAAGCTAGTAAGTGACATGATCATTATTTAGCCTGCCCTGCATAGCAACCATTTTGTTTAGAACGGATGACCAGTCCTTTTGCAAAGCAACTTTGCAAAAATAATTAAGAATACGGTCGCTTCTGTAGCAAATTACCAAAATAACGAACAACTAGATTGTTATCCGGACTATATCGTCTGGTGGAAGAATGAAATTGTATGAATTTACTTATCAAAATAACATTTTTTATTCAAATATATAAAACGTTGTTATTTTAATATGTTGGTAACAGTTTTATAAAAGCAATAAGGCATGCGAGGCAGTGCTGTATCATGAATATAGTCACAGGTAAATGGGTTGACTGGCCCTCCGCTATCGCGTCAGGCCGAAGAACGCAATTTACCTGTGACTGTATTCAGTATACAGCACTGCTTCTTGTGCCCTATTGCTTAAATCATGCACACTCTAGAATGCCCTTCAAGCCAATCAGAAATGAGTATTCAACAATGCCATGGTATAATATGGCCCAAGGAGGTGTGGTATATGGCCAATATACCACAGCTAATGGCTGTTCTTATGCACGACGCAATGCAGATTGCC